CTATCGATCAGACAGAAGGCAAAAAATGATGTATAGTAGCTAGCCACGTTTATCATCCACCACAATCGACTATTACAGTAGTACTATAAATTACCATTTTAATTTCAATCCAACTATGTTGATATGGATACAGTTAATTAAATTATATCTTTAATCCATACGTACAATACAGTAATTTAGCCATCAACAGTGACTTGACGCTATTTTTCCCAACAAATAAATTACGTTTAATCGATACAAGCTACTGTTGCACGATACGATCAATTTGCATCAATGAAAATTTCCAACTAGCCGATACATCATCATTAGATTGCTACCTTTGAGTAAGGTTTACACAAATAATAATCAATAAAATTACGTCAATCGATACTAGCTACTGTTGCACTATGCCATCAATGTTATCAATTTGCATTAATGAAAATTTATAACTAGCCGGATACATACATTATCATCGTTACATTGTAACTTTGAATAAGGCTTATATAAACAATAATCAATGTGATATCATCTTGTTTCTTAGGCTGGATTAAATCCTATCAAGAAGCGCGTTTATGCTGAGATATGCACTACTTTAGGGCTTAAGCACACCTTTACTTATGCCAATTCCGAAACAATGCGTCATTTATTGGGCTATATTCATAAAAAGTTAGTATTCATTGTGGATGCAAATTTTTTTTATTTGCCCTTGAATTATTTCTCCTATCATATTAGCAAATTGACTCTTTATTAATAAAGTATTAAATATTAGAGTTACTTTATTGTAAGTTATCAGTCGATGCAGTAAACGTGAATTACCTACATTATAGTTTATTCTATGCTATTCTGTTCTAATCCTAAAAATTGTAGTTAAATATACAGTACGAAAAAAACTGCCATAGAACTAGAAGATAGTAATTTACAGACTCGTATGAAAAAGACTTGTTCTTAATGACTAGCGTTACATCAAATATCAAGGAGATCTAATGCTAATCGAATTCCATAAACGTCGATTTTATAGATATGGCTCTGTTAGGAAATATTTAGAATCGACCGGATTTAGCTACGAAGAGCAAGATCAGCTGAAAAGCAATTTAATGTTAAAATCTTGATTACGTTTAAAAACGGTAATGATTTCAGCTAATTACAGTAGTTATGTGCTATTAATTAAGGACGCAGTAGTCGATACCAAATTTTAGCTACTTATCAACTGCTGCATAAGTGCTATATATAATGGTATCAGTTACTTGATCTACTGGTATTTTACTCATTGTAGTACCATCATTTTTTAGATACTATCAACTCATTGTATCTATCTTATCTAATTGTTTGCACACTCTGTAATTGTTGTATCTTGCCAGTAAAACTAATCATTGTTAACTAGATCAAAGCGACCTGCAGAAGTATTATCTAAAAACTAAAACTATCATGAAATTGATCATGTATAATTGATAATGATCTACTTTTAACGCTCACGTAATTACGCATTTACGCATATTCCTAGTAATGATCATAGAACCATTTTGACAAGCCTTTAGGCCTTTTCTTTATTTTGCATAACTATCATAAACTGAAACTGCAAAGTTTATGTAGAACTATTTAACTTACTTTTAAACCCTTTCTTCACTTTGCGCAACTATAACAAGTGAAATGTAAAATTTTTCATCATATTGAATCCATCGTTGTATAAATGATTTATAATCAAATCTTAACCAATATAATTTATAATATATCTGAATAGCATCATGGCTTTTTTTGTAATAATATCTTTTTATTATTTGTTTCATAGCAAGCATTAACCTGCTATTCTATAGACCATGTATTGATCGCCGAAGCAATAGTTTATTATAAAATACGTATAGGCATTTTTATTGTCTGCTGTTACAGTTTTTAATCACTGTTCGGATTTTATTTTACGCTAATCGAAGAACTCTCTTATTTTTACGTAATCTGTGCATGAAATCAGAAAACTTCAAGTATACGCGTATACAATATGAATGTATGAGATTAAGAATTTGTAACTATTCAATCGAAGTGAATTTAAAAGTATTTAATAAAAACCTGTATAACACCGCTACGAAATTGAATTTGGATAGTTTTTATCCTTAATGAATTTTGCAATATGCGATATGGCTATTAAGCCATAGAAAGTATTTGAATTTTGAATTTGCCTAGGTTTCTCTAAAAATTTGATAGAATGATTTAATAAATAGTATTGACCAAGACCGGACCTGCACCGGTGTACTGAGGAGAGTAGACTAGCAGGAAACATAGTTTAATCAAAATCTCTATATTTCTGATTTGATACATTTTAATATACGCGTGCAGAAACTGCAAACTTAATGTCCTTACGATATTCTTTATTTACAAGATATTTTACATTAGCAAAAAAGACGACTTAGTTTGGGTTACGTTATACGTCAAGGTCGTACGATATTTTGCAACCTTCATATGAGTCTTGCTACAAAAAATTGACAATTTCAAATTACTATACATTTAAGCATTTAAAGTTTATGGTAACTTATGGCGATACCCATACAGAGTATATTCAGTAAATGGATTTATACGAAATTAAATATGTGTATGGAATCGAAAATTGGGCACAGCTTACTATTATAATGCTTCAATAATGCATGAGCACTAATTCACTCGTTATAGCAGCAAACCAAGTTCCCGACAATTTGCTGCCCTATATTATGACGCCTCAGTAATCAATTCAATCCATTACGCTATATGGCCTTCGGTATTATAAATAGATTATCATATATGCTAACATTCTATAACAAAGCATTATTTTCCTTGAAGTACTGTATTGACATCATTAAAACAACGAATAACTAAAATTATACATTAAAAATTTAGATGATTCTAGTCGATTAGATTTACGGGCTAGTACTTACTGTCAACAGGTCACGAATATTATGATATTGACTTAATCTGGCTTCCATTAATTTAAGCTATAGAGTGTGAACAATATCATTCCCAAGCCAGAGGGAACATATGTTGAGAAGTTTTATTGATTAATTTGCCGGTAACATATGGAAATTGAATGCGGGCGGAACCAGCATCATCTAGCAATCTTTTGTTTGCAAATGTGTAATAGTTCTATAAACTGCAACTTAGCATTGATTTGTTTAGCAAGGGCGGTGTTTCTTTAATATTTGATGACATAGCACACTTAGCATGCGTAAAATATACGTATAGTTTCGTCATCACCTTTCCCTACAATTTTGTATTCTTAGTAATCATAAAATTATTGGAGATTGAACAGCAGTAAAACGGTATCATCCCTTTAGACTTTAAAGTATTTGAAGCTAGGCGTGCTGTCATCATAAAATGAGAAACAAGATGGTTTCAATTCATTATCCGGTAAGAATTTCTAGATAGCCATGAATGTTAAAACTTGTTATTTTGAGAATATTGAGTATTGTTGATCGTTTCCTATTATTCTTTTATATGATATCTCCACCTAAATCATTTTTGCTATGATCTACTAGTACAATTAAGTTTTAGTACGCTATCATCATTATACTTTTCACCGGCTGCTATTCTCACGCCATCTTCTTGAAAATATCCATTACTGTTTGATCATAGTATCGGGTATAAATATAGAATAATAAAATAGTTATTATTTCAAGGGGATAAATCTCAAATAGAAAATATACACTATTTCATCCAGAATGTAGAAATACGAGCATATCTTCAAACTTTAAATTTAAGAGGATAATATCTCCATCAGTCTTATATTAAATGTTCAGTTAAGAAAATAATCAATGAAATGGAGACAAAAATTTGTTAATCCAGTTGTACCAATTGATATTAAGCATAATATTAGGTTACTTTCGTTTACCCGATATATTACATTTCTGTATCGTGTTAAAATTTATAATAACATTATGGCATAAACAGGGTGTAAATTTCGTCTCAATGACGATGGTTAATTTCCTAATGATATATTAAAAGAACTCCTATAATATCTTTTTCCTGTACTAACTTGTTACGCTCACCTTAGATAGATTGTAAAGCATCGTATCGTACAGTATTCGAATATTTTCTCCTTTAACGTCCCTTGCTTCATGTAAAGGCCACTACTATAGCTATAAAGATCGATTTGGTCGTTCCATGTTAAAAAATCAAAATATGGCTCATATAGTTTACCATTCCCATCAGACGCAGGCTAACATCGCAAATATGTTTTATAGAGACTACTAACACGACTTACCGTAAGTTTTCCCTTCTTTATGATAAGAGAGCATGGACAATCCGATATGATAGTAGGTTTCAAATATGGACCACTAAAATATCAATTTTAGTAGTCCTTGGATTTCCAATTATTTGAAATTTTGCAATCGAGAAGGATATTAATTCATAGGAGAATCTGCTCGCTTATAAAGCAGGAAATACCCCCCCCCCCTTCCTCACTAGAGCATCTCCTACTTTAATCTATCAAAAAGTAATAGTGAATAAATAGTAAATTTTCAAGACATCCTTACGTTACTTTACGTTAAGAGAAAAGATCTGATATAAGAAGGTTTACCGATATACAGTACATACGGCTGCCATATTCCATAATTTGTTCACAGTAACTGACAAAATAAGTAACAGTAGTAACAATAGTAATATCTTGCCTAGGTAAAGCTTAAGAGTAGCGTCTGTTACTTTTAATTTTAAAAAAGTTGTTAGAGCAAGAAAAACTACCGGTTACATTAAACTTTAAAGATTAGGAGAAAATTGGATGCTGGTATATTCGCTATACGAGCCTGCTAGAACTAATAGTTCACATCAAATATAAGGCTTTCGATTTTCCAGATATTTTGTGGATAAGGATGGAATTGTAGTATAGTTTTACCTGCAAGTTTTAATTTCAAAAGTTGTTAGGAAATTATAAAGCGCACATTTTCGTTTTCGAAAGTTTAACCTGATAGTCTTTACGATACTGAAACTCCTAAAACCCTAACCTTTAAGATTTAGTTTTATTAATCTTTCAGAACTGGCATTTGTATAGATAGCAAGTATCTTAGTATGGTTCCGATTACTTCCCTAAGATGGGCAGAATGATATGTTTATATTTCTTACCAAAGGCTCAACCTTAATAAACTTAGCAATATTGAATGTATGATCCCTACCAGATTAAATACTATCGATCTCTTAGAAATTATATTTTAAAAGGATTATACTGTAACATGATAATTAGTTGACGTAAATTTTTATTTAATATGAAATGTATTTCCTCTAAATTTTTCATAGGCAGTAAATTAAATAATAAATATCACTTAGAAATCGTACATTCCTTGCTGAAATATTACTGCATACACTCATAAGAAACTGAGCTATAAAAACTAACATCATTGTGTAAGAGGATTAAGCGATAAAAATATTGCAAACTTTAATTTAGTATCGGTAATATTCTATTCGATTTATATTAATCGAAGAAGGCATTCTTATTTTAGGCGATATTTTATGACTACTTATATATATTACTAATAAATTGGATCAAATTACATACATTTTTGAATTTTATTCTAGATACTAAGGCAAAATAATTGTTATTAGCAACATGGATGATAAACTATATCGTCAGGCGAGTTTTATGACTCGTCGACGCCGCCGTAAAGAGAATGAATTGGTTCAAGCATTACGCGAGGATATTAGCGATTGGATCGCTCGACTCTTCCCCAGTCTTTCTATTCAAGCGGATAAGTTTCACGATGCTATAGCTAATGGTACTGTTCTATGTCAGTTAGCTCAATTAATTGAAGAGGCGCAATTAAAAATTGGTGAAAAAATTGATAAGAATTTACGAATTCAAATGAATAAAATTGCAATGATGGGAGGAAGAAGTTTAGTAAAATTTAAAGCCCGAGAGAATGCATTATCATTTATTCGTTGGTGTCAGAATCGTGGTATTAACAAATCAGTTATGTTTGAACCAGATGATTTAGTTGAACAGCGTGATCAACGCCAAGTTATAATATGCTTAATGGAAGTTTCCAGATTAAGCGTTCGCTATGGGATTGAACCTTGTAAATTGGTCCAGTATGAAATGGAAATTGATGCAATCGAGAAACAGGAAAAAGAAGAATCACAATTAATGCAGCAATCATCCAGTCTTCATTGCAGCAGACATCTTCAAGATCAAAATGACGGTATACAAGAATCGACAGTGCAAGAACGGCATCATAAACATAGAAAAAATAGAGCTAAGATTAAAAGAAGAAAGAGTAAAAGAGATCCAAATCGTCTTCGTCATGATAATCAAACGACAGTACAACAGAATCAGATTCCATCACATCGTAAACGTTCAAGCCAAGAAAATACAGAAATTTCCGTTATTTATACTCAAACATCAATATTTAAAGAACAAAAACCAAATAAATTGATCAATGCGAAAGGTTCACCTCGGAAAATTGTATCGTCAAATAGATCAGAAAATGTCGAAACAGAATCTACAGATTTAAACGAAACATTCGCTAAAAATATGCAAAAAGCCTTCGGTATCGTCACTACTCCACCCAATAATGAAAACCGTGATCAAGAAAATAAAGTTAATCTTGTAAATGATCAAGCTAAAGTCCAATCGTATACTAGACAAAATTCCACTGCTGATCAAAGCTATAATTGTGATCAGCAAGTTAATAGTAGCCAACCTGAGTTAGTTCATAATAATCGATCTTATCCTATACCATCTTCTTATAACTCGTCATCAAATGCGACCGAATCGACGCCTAAACATGGTCGAACGGAAATTACCTCAAAATATCCTTCATCGTCAGTCAATACTAATACAACGATAAATCAGAGTAATAATACATCAAGTCATCAATTGGTATCAGAACATAGTGAAGAATATTGGGATGATGAAGAAATTGAAGAGCAATTATCCAAATTTTCTATTAAGGAAGAATCAAGTAAACAAGACAGCCAAGACTTAGAATATACTATACCTAACGTAACTTTGAATCACCCTGATAAAATTCAATTGACTAATATCAATTCTCAGTCTAATTTAATCGATAATGAGATATCATCTTCAGATACAATCGATTATTCATTGGAAATTAATCGAGAAAGGAAAAGATCTACAGGTGAAGATAGTTTTATTTTTGATGAAGAAATGATGCAAAGAGAAGCTTCCATTGCATCAGAAGCTGTGCTCGATCACTATGAAGTCGGCCAGGAACAGCAACAACAACAGTATTGGTTACAAAATCAATTAGAAGGCAGAAGCAGTCGAATTGGTAGATTACATCAAAATGAAACTGCTAGTTTAGACGATGATGACTATGAAGACGACGATACATACGAAGAGGACTATGAAGATGAGGAAGAATATGATGGTGAAGGAGATATCGTACCGCTAACATCAGTTTTGCATAAAAACGTAAGATCATCAAGATTTTATATAACCCCTCATAATTTCAAAATGAGGATTATATCTGTACTTTATAGTGCTACTTATAAATGGAAAGGAATCAAAACCTATGTAATATTCCTGTGATAAACATTATCTACTGATGTAGAAAAATTTTTATATGAAGATTTTAATTTTTTCTTTCAATAACTAAATTAATTTTGTTCTATCGTGTGGCTGTATTTCTTCATTTATTAATTATGTATAAGTTAATTTATGAAAGATTTTGGAACCTTAAAATTATTTTATGTCATACTACGTGGCCTTATTAAAAATCGATTCTAATATCAATAGGTATGGAAAATTGTGAATTCAGTCCAAGCCAATGATGACATCATACAAATGAAGGAAGGAAAATACAAAATATTTGATAAAATTGTCTTCGTTAGGGTGAGTTTATTAGATTACCGTACTAATTTATGTTAATAAACTAAATTCTTGATAACGGCATTAAAAATCTTAAGTTTGTAACGATGCATGAAGTAAATGGTAGCTTATCGAGAAAGAATTATCTTAATCGGAGTACTAAGCAACAGAAAATCAGTTCCGTTACTAGTAATATCGTGATATTCGTTTAAAATTAGTTTTTAACCTTGAAACATTTGATAACATTATGATAGAAATAAGTATTTCTTTTTTATTAAACTAAAATCTATAGATGCTAAATGAGCACGTTATGGTTCGTATTGGCGGAGGATGGGATACGTTAGAGCATTACATCACCTTCCATATGTCTTTACGAAAGAATAAATCAATTTTGAAAACTAGAGATATAGATGAAGTAAGATCAGATATTAAAGCCAATTCAAGCTTAATTAGCTATTCAAGGCCAAAAAGAACTTCCTTTGGTGGTTCACTTGGTAGTCGAGACCAACTCGGAGCTAGTACATTGTCTCTACAAAGTAGCGGCTCCTTTAGTGAATTTCATCCAAAGTTAAAGCTTTAAATATTCATATCCAAATGTACAGTTTCATCTGGCTTTAAACTTAGACTAGAATTGACAAAACCTATATTATTATCCATTGATACATCAAATATTTTCATCATAAATTCTAATATGACTCAATTTATCATTTTTCATAAAAATTTCGATATCAAATCATCATAATAGGCATCAACGAAATTGGCATTATACGTATCCATTAAAAATTCGTTACGATATGCTAATTAGTTTTAGACCGATAAACGAAAATTTATTGCTTGCTAAATCTAGAGCCTAAATGGATGTTGCTGCATAGTATATGACATCGATCGAGTTCCAGAAACAAGCGAATTCTCAATATACGATATATATATCTTAACATAACACCCATCAGTAGTACCTGATACGGGAAATTAATGATCAGGATTACCTCAAGCTTGTATTTTATATACATAACTTTGTCTTTTGTTGCAGTAAAATAAAAACAATGTTTTTAGCATGGCAGAAATTGAATTGAATAAGTAAAGTATATATTCTAACTTGAAGCGAATTCAATTATTCATCTTTATTTCAGCAAACTAAGGCCTTAACAAAATTCATTGTTAGTCTAGGGTTAGTTTGAAATTTTATGCATTGCTATAACATTTCAGATTCTATTTACCTTCATATAAACAAAGCGATCATATAATTTTTGCATTTAAATAATTTTTAAAGTTACTAATTGATATATAACTACAATCTGCTGGTTATAAAGTCATGTATTGAAATTTTAGGGAAGACTCGCTGTCCATATAATGACCAAGACTTATGACACAATTCCTTATTTACTTCTAAAATAAACGCTGTAAGCGAATTTATTCGATCAAGTCACATCATTATTTTAAGATTGTTATTACAACTGTGTTCAATAACGTAGAATGAGCTAGACAGATTTTCTAATGCTGCATTGCGTACGTTTACATAACCAAGATAAATATCTAAAGCATATCTTTAATACTTATAAACTATCCAATATACTCCAAAGTACTCAAATCAAAGTACCGATAGTACTGCAATAAAGTAGGATCTAATCACATTGATAATGACTCGTTATCAATTCGAATAATATGAATCAAACAACACATAACGGAGACTATCCATATACGTATGAATTAAATTTTCTGTGCAGGCAACGAAAAATAAATGCATAAGAATATTTGATTTGCAGTTAAAATTGCAACTTAAATAGCCTAGGCTTAAAAATTGTAGTTTAATGCAGTCATGAAACGTTTCAGCGTAGAATGAGTATTATGATACAAGAGAATTGATATTCATGTTTCCATTAGCTCTAGCTGAAATATTGAAATCTGCAGAATCTTTTAAAAGAATCTTTCATGCCGTTATAGGCACTAAAACTTTCAGTATATGCAATGCAAAACGTGGAAATACATTAAGTTCGATTGGTATTGGTATCTATTTAAACAGCTGTAAAAAAGTAAAAAGAAAAATAATACAGGCAAAAATTTATTCTTGCAATTTTGAAGATTTCTTTCTTTGATTTGCTAAAGCTTATACTACCTGTCTAGTCAACTTATGTCAAATTTTGTAGTGTGTAAGGGTCAACGTGCAGCTTTTAGCATCATTATGCAATCGATACGATGCCCTCTTAACTCAATGATGGCTTATTCGCTTTCCACATTGATATATTGGCAAAGTTACCTGCTAATGCGGATAATACGTAAACTATATTATACTAGTTTCCATTTTGGAATTACCAAAATAGATTATTACAATATTCCTTTACTATGAAGGTTGGCACATGATAAAGGGTGAAAATCTTCATGTGAAAGTGATCAATTCAGGAGGCAAGTGTCCTATATCGCCTAACCCCATTAACGTAACTCTGCCATCAGGTTCAATGGTTAAAGTAGTAATTCCACAATTGGCAATATTAAATCGTAGCCATGCTTCCATGGGCAGTTGCAAACTCCTGAAAGATATCAATTATATATAGAATATATTATGTGTCGATGATGACAAATCAGCATGATCGAAATGCATGCCATATCACAAGATGTCAATTGGAATGTATGCAGGATGAGATATTGCGATGACAATTTATAGTCAAATCTTAACACAATATTTGTTTGAAATATTATATTCATATAATCTATAGTAATAGGTAAACCCTATTTTCAGTATATCCTTATCAACAAAATCATATTGAAAGTGTAAGCAATCACACTGCTTCGAGCTTCGAGATTTTAGTGAAGTTCGCTTCCTTTACAATGCATTTTGACAGTTTAAATAGCCTTTCCTTCATTGGGTAATCTTATTCAACTTACCTACATATAAGATATCTGATGGCATTAGCATGACTAATAATTAAATCGATAGAATGATGTGTTTGTTTAGCATGGGCTCGATAAAAGTATTTCCTGAAAGATCCTTCCATCCTTATTCCATCCGCTAACATTGCCTAATGCCATCAACAAAGCAGCAGTAAGAAATTGATAACTTTGTAATAGTTTGAGTTCTGATTCGTTTGATATCATCTAAGGTAAAGTATAGTAGGGCAATCTGAGGCTAATGTTCAACGCCTAGTCCTCACCTTTTTACTCGGTTTCCAATATTGTACAGGTGGTACTGGTTCGATCGGTGGGGCTCCCTCCGATAAAGCTTTTGTCGCTTCTTTATTTTTACAAGTTATGATTTTGCAGATTTGATCAGCGGTTTCTGCAGCACTCACTGTAGCAGAATAGTATACGTTACTTATAGGGATATTCATTGCCTTCAATCTCTTGCCTGTCAATTTTGCCTGCACTCTTCCTAAATCGGTCAATACAGGCTTGGTTTTATCCTTTTCAACATGAACCAAACGGAATTGGCCATGGCGCACTATTAGAATTGTCCTCGTTGCATTGGGCTTGATAGTCTCTTTTTTGGGATATTTCCGATCCCAATTGTGATCCCAAGATATTCGATAAGACGATCTAGGTATCTCGACATGATCTTGAGGACTACCTTGCTTTTCCTTGTCTTTCTTTATCTCTTTATTCATACGGTGATTGCTGTTGGCTGTCTTTTCTGCGTCTTTGCAGCTGTCATCGGAGCAAGTTCCCTGCTCGGATGATGTACGCTCGGTTACCTGCTGTTTGCCATCCTGATGGCAGCTCCCTTGTAAAATCAAGAGCATCATCACGCTAATACCTAGTATTAGCTTGCCTAAATCAGTCATTTTGTTCAATATTTAGGTATACGTTAACAGACTCCAACTCAATTTTTGAACTCCGAACCGTCCAGCAGCCAAGAACGTTAGATCAATATTTTACTTGCTGCAGGCAGAGTACCGGCGCCAGCTGTGCTGCAGTCGCGCTTTACGTGACTGCAGTCTAATCAGAGACTCGTTCGTCTCTAGTATGGTCACGGCTTCCGTCCAGTACATTTTACAGTCCTGTCTAATAATACAGAGTACAGTATACTGTATAGTGTTGGTATAAAGTGTACTGTACAGTAAAGTACAGTATAGAACAGTAGGTATAAATTATACCGTAGAAGCATTTCTGCATACTGTATCTGCAAATTCTACTGTACTGTGCAGCCAATATTTAGTTATAAAACACTCAAAAAATTATTTACAGTTCATAATTTTAGTTTTAAAATTTGGGGAGTAATCCATGACATTTATTCTACAAAATATGGACGTGATGCGTATATCAGTCTCTGCCCATATTACCACATCTAAATGGTGTATCTGGATAGACTGTACTGCACATTCGAGTGTACAGCAGACCCTTCCATCAATTCTACGAGTACTCAATGGCTACTCTTTAATGGCACAGCATTTAGTCAGCGATTCATGAGACTAATAGTTTTAGTCTCAGAAGTCCCTGATTGAGTCATGGACTACTAAAAATATGCATAGTTAGCAATTTCAGTCCATGATTTAGTCTACGTCTAACTGTCCCACACCTACATACTATAACGGTATGTACTGTATTAATTAAACATTCTACTATGCCGGCCCTCCAATTATAATATGATAATTATACGAGTACTAAATGACGACTCTCCAATGGCACAACATTTAGTCAGCGATTCCTGAGACTAATAGTTTTAGTCTTAAAAGTCCCTGATTGACTTATTGCAGTCAAAGCGGGGTGATTGTGACTTTCAATTTATTTCTACAGCAAAATTGGCAATCCCAGTATATCAATTTTATATTAATAAACTGAACGAATATAAATTGAAATATATCGATCGCGTTGGGCTATGATATTGTTGAATAACCCTAGGTATGGAATAGGGCAAATTGCACATCATAAAGTGGATCAATGCCGTTTACTATTTCTGATCTTTTGAATATTTTGGTATATTTACGGCAGTTGAGAACTTCATTGACTCTATAGGATATAATTTAGACTAGTACTGTACTACGGTATTTCTTCCAATAGGCATTAAAACAGTATATCTCGATTCAAAAAGCACAGAACAGCAGACCTTAACTATTATCTTTTCATACGAGTACATAGAAATTGGCTGACAGAAACGGAGTGTTCTGTAGATGCGTGGCTAGGCAGGAAAATGGCTGTGTTTTGAAAGACATAAAACATAATGTGGCCTGAGCCATATCCCAAATAGATCACAATACGGATACACTGGAAAATACGCCCAGCCATGTACACAAATCGCAGAGAATATGCAAATAAGGTTACAAACATAGCACAGTTGAGCATAGGACTTTTGCTAATACGATTCTCTCGGGAGAAGAGTAATTGAAGCAATACATTCTGATTATGCTATCCACAACACTTCTCTATCTTAGTCGAAACTTGATATATTGTACATACAATACATACTGTACGTTTTGGCAATAGTACTGTAGTCCAAGCGGGGCTAAATTAAGTTATTTTATTTAGCCATAATGATAAAGTTGCAATTTTAGGACAACGTCGGTGGGGCATTTTATAAACAATTGACAATGATGTTTTCTCATATCACTTACTGGTGTATACGCGTACATAAATATTGCAGTTAGACTTACCTGAGTCTCTAACTCTCTATTAATATAGGAGCACAACACGTTCGTTATGCATTAGTGTGCATGTAGACTGCATTTTAACAGAGGCATATAATAATAAATATTTAATTTATCTAAGAACAAACAGATCTCAACTTGCGGAACTCGTGTAAAAGTCGAAAATAATGTACCATTAGGTCAAAATATGAAAGTAGGTTAAAGTGAACACTATCATAGTCCAAGTTTTACAAATGGAGTCAATTTCGGAAAGTGTTATTCGATAATATGAATAGCTTCGAATGTATCTTACAGACTCGACGAAATTTCCATATCTTTTGATTCCTAATAGAATTTATATGTGCAATATTAAAAAGGAATATTCGCTATAAGAATAGTATTAATATCAAACTTCTTTCTACTGTAGCCTGTTGATAACAAAGAGCTCAGTATTGAATAGTATCTTGATTCTATTGTCATCTCCATTATAAAAACTGTCCAATTTGCATATCAGCAATTAATCAAAATGAGACATTAAATGGCAAACCTGCATTATACGTCCTTTAGTTTCTATTGGGAGAAGCATCGCAGAAATTCCTCCCGCGAAGGAAATGCAAGCGTAAATGCTTAACGCTAAGATATCGGAAACCGGTAACATTACCTACACAGTAGATCAAAACATGATAAGTTGGTAATTTAACGAACTACCTTGTACGAAAGCTATTTTATAATTTTCGCTAGTGAAAAAACGTTTTTATCGAAAATATTTCACTTGCATACAATACAATTAGCAAAGGTGGGATAGTCCTTAAGTATACACGATATCATATTTTAAAAATAAACCAGGAACATTGCCTTCCATTACAATCGAATATTGCAGTTTTTGCTACAACCTGAGCTAAAAATGGTGTAATCATTGCACCAATTCGAGCGAAACTGCTGCAAAATCCAAGGCCTAGTGCTCTAAATGTTGTTGGATAAACCTATAATTAAGCCAAATGGGGAATATCAATAACGCCATGTTTGTAATTAGCACAGTTTTTACTACGATACCTAAGCACTCAAGATAGTCATTCTACTTCAGAATATATTTCATGATTAAAAGCTAAAGTATAACTGTAATCATTCTATCGTTCTAATATTTAAATTTCATTCCGCTTTATTCGGTTCTTAGCTATCAAACAAATTTCACGACCCCTATAATGCTAATTTGTGATAATTACTATTTTCATTAAGAAGTTGATACTGATAGATAGACAGTATTTGTAGAATTTTAAAAACATATTTTAACAAATCACCTCAGGGGTATAAACATAGGCTACTTGAAAGGCTCCAGAAATAAGCGCTCGGACACAAAATATAAGGATTGTCTTCGGTACCCTAGTGGTGCAGATAATAGTTAATAAATGTATGCAAGTGCGAAAACTATTATAACTGAATATAGTAAATCTGAATTATAATTACTACGTTAAAGTTTTACATTTACATATCTTTATGTCATTCATCGTGAGCGTTCATTTTATGAGTAATTTATAAAGTAATTAAACTATTTTCACTAACAATGAATTGATATTACCTTGCACTGCATATTATTAGCATGAATAAGAATACTCCAGCAAGCGAAAATTGTAAGCATAACGCCTTCTTTCTCCCCAATTGCTCAACAATCAGGAATGCAAATATCATCCCTTAAGAAATAAAAAATTAAACAAAAAATAACGTTGAATTTTAATCACTAATTAGATATCAAATTTAAGCAATCAATCATGGCTACTGTTATAGAATTATATTCTGAACTATCAATGTTTTTAAAGTAAAAAAATTTAGCAAAACAAATTAGCATACGAATATACTGACCAGGGAACTCGGAGACGGTTGTAATTACAATATTACGATAGTCATCACTTGATAGTGGCTTACATATGCATCCGTGAATAGAATTTTCTCCATTACCTAAATGTATTTAAATATTTAAGTCACCGTTAACTACCAAACAATGCTTCATAAGACAGCTACAATTCTAGTATTTCGAAAAGTAAAATTGTTGCGCTTAGACAATATTAATGTACATTAGGAAACAGCTGCTTAATACTTATGGCTTACCGCATCTATCCACCGTGTATAACACTGGAGTCATTAAAATTATTCCATAATACAGTGCCGCAGCAGAAAACCTGTCCAAATATGACAGTAATGAATAATACCGAGTAATCCTCATATTAAACTTACTCAACAATTTTACGAGTGATGGCTTCAATTGTACTGTATTGTTCTATATACAAACAATAGTTACCAAATTGACCACATCAATAAAGTTGTTTTCGTATAAGGAGGTTTCAGTAAATCCCAAATTCGTCCACGAGTTCCCTAAATAAATAACGTCATTCCTCTTTAATCTAAAATTTATGCATTGACCAAATCTAGGCTTCTAGTCATCACGTAGAGACTTTTGTTTGCTTGAATGTCCAAAAAGAACATCCAATATACTTTTACTACCTTGCTAGGCAATTTTATATCTTCACTATACCAGGACTTCCTATTTGCTGTCGCAACATTATGCAAAACTGACATAGCTTCTGAGCGTTGACCGGATATTAACAAATATCGTGGTGACTCTGGAATAATCTATAGTCAATTGTAAAAGTAATTAAGATACGTATTTTATTTACAAGCGATAATATCTATATATTGATAGCATACCTTATACAGAAAACAGAAAACTAGGCAAGGTAGGCTAGAAAAAGCTACTAAATATCTCCAACCAAGGGTAGGCATAACAATAAAGGCTAGAATAACTTCGAAACTTGCTCCAATCGACCAAAATGACTAAGAGATTGAGAAAGAATTATACGTCTCTGTTATTATAGTAAATGAAATGACGATAAAATATTATAATTCAGCTATGCAGCGAAGTAGAAAACTGTACTTGGAGAAAGACAATTGATCTAGCTCGAGCTTTGACAGGCAAGAATTCACTATAGAGAGTAACCCTGTAGATTCATGGAAGATAATATAAGCGTTACATAGTTTAACATAATGTGTAATCAAACAGTACAATATGCGTAAACACGTCTATCTGTAACATTCTTAAGTCAATATATAATAGTAATCTAATTAGGGAAATGATCGCTATTTTAATTGTATAGACGATGTAATTTAGAGGTAAGTCGTGGCAGTAAAGTTTTATCTATAATCATAATTTACTATACTTTTGAATTGTACAAGTTTAGTGCAACATCTTACGCTTGTGCAGCACCAGAAATACCAAAACCGGTTATTGTTCGTGTAAATATAACCCAAAAATAGCTAGGAGATAGAGCGCATAATATTCCATAAAAGAAAGTGCAGAAACTGGAAGACAATAACCCCTGTAATGCAATGTTGATTGTAGGATTACTCATTTGACTTTATTTACTAGAAATGTTATCGTCTATCAGGAGCTACTAATTTTACTAGAGCTATATATTTTAAAATTTAATTTATCATCTTCATCTATTAATGGCAATATATAATTATAGATCAATTCGTATGTACTATTTTGCGTCCGTATATATCTGCCAACCAGCCCCAAATTGGTGCTCCGATACCAAAGCCCATAAAGACCACCTATTATAGATTGGATTATATTATATTTTAAGAATTTGATAAGTGAATAGTATAAATATTTTCATATAAAAATAATTACGATTTTAGCTGATTATACCGTCGTTATAAAGGCTTCCTGCCATGATGAAAGATACCATTCACAAAGGAGAACTGGACCAATGACGGATAATAGCATCATTTCCATGGCATCTACGGCCTAATACACAAATACGTGAGATTGACTGAATATTGATAATGTATGGGTTGAGTTCTATGTGGTTAACATTTTATAGTATAAAAATTGTTAGCAATGGATCTATACTGATTGCACTTAAAGTATAGCGTAGCACTGTTTCCTCCTGAGCGGTACTATATAAATGGTAATCTCGATATTTATATTAGAACTAGAATCGTGTTATGTTTATTTCTGTAAGCAAACTCGGTAGATGCTAAGATAACCATGTCTACGTAACCTACATCGCATAACTGTAAATTAATTTTGTGCAATCTGCGATCAAATACTGCGCGTATATACTCGTACGTGTAATAACCCTAGCTCTCGTCCATTTTAAAGCATTAATATAACTAGCTTGCATATAGCTAACTTATTACTTGCCATTAATATTTAAGGTACTGCTCCTAGTTTACTGCTAGATTAAAGGTAGTCATATGTAAACAAGTGCAAATTTGAAAAGCTCACTATAAGTCCATATTAAAATGAAACCGTATAACTATACCAAGTTTAAACTTGCAATAATCCATCAAGTACCGTCAAGATAAAGAAATCTTGTATTTTTAAAATGGCAAATTATCTTAATTAATTAGTGCATTAATTAGTGCAACTACAGTATGTATCATAAGATTAAACAGGATTAATATATTCGTGTATTACATTACATATATACATAAAATACATACTAACCCAGGCACATCCCATTACAAACGTCAATCGTATTTGATATTTTCCAAATCCTAATGAATTAATTACTTCTCCAAGAGTGGTTGAATCATCTAAGGATTGAATGAAAGGAAACCAGTTATAACTAAAATATAGGAATATTCTTAATGATAGCAATACAGTCAGTCTATTTTGTAGGACGCCTATATTCAATTTGCTTCTTTGTATTTTAGACTGGACTTTGGGTAAAATATTATCAATGGTGTTGTCTTTTTAATGACTGTTAGAAAGTGACGATATGGCTATATTTGTATTTATAACGGTATATATCCTACCACTAAATATACCGTCTTTCCTAAATAAATACTGCTATTACTAAGGAATATAATATCAATGACAGTTATAAACGTATTCGATGATAGCATTAAAGCTTTAGTAGGTGTTATAAACGTACCATATACTAACACGGGATTTAAGACTATAGCGAGGCATTTAAGATCTATCCATTAATTCGACCATTTACAGTTAGTTAATGAAGTCACTTAGCATTTGATTTATTTTTGGCGTGGTCTGATGTTTACCCAACTTTCAACAGTTCATGGAGGTCGAAATTTTTTCTGATTGCAAGATTTAAAATTTACAAGGATACTAACTCTTTGCGTTAGTGTAAAATGTCTACGCCATAGTACAGTAGTATTCAGTCTGGCAACGAGATATCGTAAAAGTAACAATCTATTCCGATGTGCTACATTTGTAGGAAGCGGATGTCCATTATACTGTAACTATTAAATAACGGCAGCATCAAATGACCAGAATGTAGCATCCAATACTTTAACTAACTCCGTTAGTAAGTAATCATTTTTATTTCATACGCCTATAGGCTACGACAATACTATAACATCAATACTATAGTAGACAAGTAGAACTGTACCTAACTTCATCATGACTACAGAAAAGTCTATAGTTTTTAAAAATTCTCGAAATTATACTTCATGTCAGCAGTTACGCCATTTGATCGAATAATGAAATTTTAAAGCCTTGTTCTTACCAAATAGGGATTGGCTCTGTTGATCATTTCTTCATTCCTTAGTACGTACAGTACAGTATATATGTACATGTAAATCCTACTTGACTGTAAAGGCCTGCGGATCTAAATTAAAAATACCCTCTAAATTACTCCAAGTTGTACTGCCGATAGTTGCTGCCCTTGATGGGATAATGAAATCTTGAAAGCTTTGGTTTAGCTCAATATGAGAGATACAAAAGTAGCACTGCTTAAATGATCATTTGTTCATTTCTTAGTAATGACTTCGCTATAGAAAAGCTTGGAGTTTTAAAAAAAAAATCCACCGAATTGTATTCATGTCGATAATGATGGCATTGACCGAATAATGAAATTTCCAATGCCTTGTGTCGCCAAATCGAGATTGACCGTGTTATTCATTTATTCATTTCTTAACATAGACTTTAAGGTTCATAAATAAAGCAGGCAAATAGTGGCCGCATATTTGCCGTATATGATCTGACTTGACTACAGAAAGGCCTGTCATTTTAAAAACCCTGTAATTTGCATTGAATGTCCACCGTTGGGGCGTTTAACTGAACGACGAAATTGTAAAAGCCGTGTCATCATCCAATCGAGACTGACTACGTTGATCATTTGTTCATTTCTTAGCATCAACAGGATTGAAAAATTAACTTAGTAAACTGATTTCTATCTAGGCAATCTTTTATCGATCAATGTATACTTTGCTTGTAACTTAAAATAACATAATGTGATTTAAGATTAAAAGGATTTTTATCAATCTTATCGTCATCAAAACGAAGATAGGGTCTTGTACTGTACATTAATCTCGAACTCGTTACAAGATTAGCGCTATGGATATTTTCTACAAGAATACTGCAATAGCTCACTTAACGGTGTTGAATCCAGATTTAATGCACAGTAGAATGCACAATCTATATCATGGCCTTTCCTAAAACTGTATTTGAACCTGTACAGTGTTTTAATGGCCTAGTGGATAATAATGGTTCTAAACATCAATAAAATGATTCTTTTCCTACCTTGATCTTCTAGCAAAGCATCCTGATCCACCGATGATCCTAAATTGTGCATAGCTACAGGGGTGGTCTCCATTGATGAAATAATAGCGAAATGATAGGAAAAAAGAAACCGTGTGTGTGGATGTAAATATATGCGTATTCGACTCTGTTAATAGAATGCAAGCTAGACTTATTTGCTGTGGAAGATTGACTATAACTTTTTTACTTAAAATTGAATTTCTTTATTATTCTGCCAACTCGATAGCTATAGTATCGTAATCTATTGGTGAGTGCTATCAGTTACAGTTAATCAACATCCTTGAACGGCATCACTTGAATGCCAGAACCAACAAGTTTGAAGTATCATGTAGAAAGAATGTTCTAATCAAAAATCAGCTAAAGCAAATCCTCTCCGGATAGAAACTGCTACAGTCCAGGTCCAAATCGCAATTTCGCCGGCAAAATCTTTAACGATGACTGAATACACAACCTTACCACTAGTGAATTAGAGTAGTGTTACTATAGATTAGCGCCTAGCAATTGGAAAACGTTTTGATTGACTGATTTATTGATTGAATGTGTTAATGACTTTTATTACTCTTTTTACTCTCTTACTTTAGTTACGTAAATAAATAAATAAATATATCCACTCTCGTATGTTACACACCTACTATGCAGCATACGCTTAGAACACTGTATCGTACTACATACAGACTATGGTACTAAAAAGAAATGGTCACACACTGTGCACTTGCAAACAGTAGTAGACGAGAGGTAAGAACGCGTTGCCAGTGGACAATTAGGATTGAAAGAAAAAATCAGAACGCAAAGTAAAAGTCTCTAACGCCTCCTTTCCTTAATAATATAGAGTAATTAGATACTGGTAGGATAGGTAAAAGAAATTATGCAAGGATTTTAGGCAAAAATGACAGAAACTAGCTTACACTCTCTCTGTATTGACAGTCGGCATCATAGCCCTAGCAGTGGATCGCATACTCGAACTCCTTGAAGTATCCAATTAGTAATAAAGTAGTTTCTTCTAATCATGTCGTGGCTTAGAAAACCCTAGCTCAGAGCTTTGCTAACCCAAACCGCTATGAGTTCACTGTTCAATAGTTTCGTTAAACCTTAATAATAATATACAGTAAATAGATACTGGTAGGATTGGTAAAAGAAATTATACAAGGATTCTGGGCAAGAATGATAGGAACTAGCCTACACACTTTCTGTATTCACAGTCGGCATCGTAGTGGATCGCATACTCGAACTCCTTAAAGTCTCGAACGTCTCCTTTCCTTAATAATATACAGTAATTAGAGACTGGTAGGATAGGTAAAAGAAATTATACAAAGATTCTGGGCAAAAATGGCAGGAACTAGCTTACACACTCTCTGTATTGACGGCCAGCATCATAGCCCTAGCAGTGGATCATATACTCGAACTCCTTGAGTATCCAATTAGTAATAAAATAATTTCTTCTAATCATGTCGTGGCTTAAGGAAGCCCTAGCTAAGACTTTTGCTAACCCAAACCGCTATGAGATTCACTGTTCAATAGTTAAGTCATCGGTGGCGGATTAAATCTGATCTCACTGCTCTACTATACTGTACATTCGGTGTAGTCACAATCATAAACTGGCATCTTTCTACTCAGAGGTTGGTACACCATGATGTAGAAAGCAAGAAATTGAATGTACACAGTACTGTAAATCCCTTAGTTGTGATTGCGTACTGATGTAAAATATGGAAATGCATTTGGTATGGTACGCTAAGTTAACATTATAAAATAATAAATATAAGTACAATATATCTGAATTAAGTGCATAGATATCTAACATGGCAACAGCCTTACTTAACCGTAGCTCAGTAACATTATATATATAACATTCATCTGCATAGCGTGATCAAGGACTGCAATCTTCTCCAACTGATATGGACATGTAAAATCGTCTACAAATGGCAGACTCGTCAATTTAATCAAAATATCATGCATTCCAGCAAGAGTTGATCGTAACCGATAGCTAGTTATTTCCGCCATCAAGCCAGACAAACAAACATCATTATACGAAACGACCATTCAATAGAATAAAATGAAATTATTTTAATGGCGAAAATTGTATCTGCCAAAGATAAAACGATTTAAAGGATATCAATATTCAAAATTTTAGTACTCCCTTGTATTGCCCTCTCTGGTGAAAATTGAATAGCTGGGTTGATTTAAGTTACTATCATAAATATATTCGTAAATTAGCTATGCAAACACAGAATGGCCTTTGATCATGGATGATATTACGCAGCTTAATTAAACGAAGCACAAATAAGTATTAGTTTAAAGTATGAGTAGTGATAAATAATCAGTTCATGGGTATTATTATACTAGAATATAAATATCAATTTCATAGATCAGGCTTGATAGCAAGTGGTCCACTTCATTTAATAATTAATATATCATAATATTTCATAGTTTTTTGGACTCCTAGTAAATGCATAATATGAAAATATGTAGAAGAACATTAGACAATATAGTAAATATCAGATTGTTTTTTCTACGTAAAAAGTATCTCATTACGAAATATCGCCATGAAGTTGCAAAGTCGACAATAATTATACTATGGCTAGAACAGCATGATAAATTAATGACAAACCCGCATATTGAGTCCTTGAGTCTCTATTGGAAGAAGGATAGCAGAAATAGCCCCCACGCAAGAAATGAACGCGTAAATGCATAGTGCTAAGATATCAGATACTGGTAGCATTACCTAAAAGATTAGAAAATATGGTAAATTAAAGCTTCAGTTGATTGATTAATATCTGAGAGGGCAATTCTACCTTAGCTCTCTTTAGTACAAATCACTTTTGCCAATATTATTGCATTTTTTTATAAATGATAATCTTAGTAAAGGCGTACAGTCTATAGGTACAATATTTAAGAATTAATCAAGATCCAATTTTCATTTATAAAAATTGTTTTGCTAAGACCTGAGCTAGAAACGGGGTAACCATTGCGCCAATACGAGCGAAACTGCTGCAAAGTCCAAGTCCTATAGCTCTAAATGTTGTAGGATAAACCTGTACTCAAAACAATTAGGAAAGCAAATTACATTAGCTTACATAACCGGTGTAGTATTTTATCCCCAAAACCCAGGCAATTACGGGCGGTTAATATAATTGGAAATAGAATTTATAGTTAAGTATCGTACTAAAATGTGATAATAATTACTAATATTATTATTTTGTTTTATTCTTACATTATACCATTCTGCTACATTTCGATTTCTAATTTACCAAAGCAATGTAACAAACTTATAATATTGAGAAGTCTGTAGGTTGCCATTTATGGACTGATATTATTGATTAATTATAGCAAGAGCTTATTTAACAATTTTAACAAAATTACCTCAGGTGTATAGACATAGGCTACTTGGAAGGCTGCGGAAATAAGTGCTCGAATACAAAATATAAGAACTGTTTTCGTTACCCTATAGTCACCACCAAAATTGATATATACAATATATATATATGAAAGAAGGGAAGTTACTTAAAGGATATATATATATAAAAGTTATAATTCTATGCACTTTTATATATAATTAACCTTAAATTTTGACTTTTAAAGAATTACTACAATAGCAAAATTATATGTTCTCTTCAGTAATAATATTACCTTGTACTACAAATTATTAGCATGAAAAGAAACACCGCAGAGAGTAAAAATTGCAAACAAAGAGTCCTCTTTCTTCCTAATTTCTCAACCACCAGGAATGCAAATATCATACCTTCGGAAACAGCATTGTACTAAATAACTGGTATTTGATCAACAGCAGGTAACTAATTGCATAATTTTTTTAATGCAGTAAAATGAATCATTTTTTTGTTGTTTATATCTTTTATGTAAACTTGTCAAGTATCGTAATAGTACTCACCGGGAAATTCAGCAATGGTCGTAATAACAATATTGCGATAATCATCACTTGATAATGGCTTACATATGCAACTACGATTAGAACTATCTCTACTCCCTACAATGTCATTCAATAATATAATAATATGATTGATACCTAGAAAAAATACTATATGAAATAGATAAAATATTGAGTATTTCGAGGAATAAAATCATTTAGAAACTAGTTATTTAGGAATATTAAACAGAATTTTACCACATCTATCCACCGTGTACAACACTGGAGTCATTAAAATAATTCCATAATATAATGTTGCAGCGCAAAGCCTAGCGTATTCAAAGCAAACAGCATTATAAGAATGATACTGCCCCTTTTATTTATCTTAAAATTTAAGGTAAATTTAAGAGTTTTGTCATGGAATCATTCACACATCACTCATGTTATTCGTTTTCATCGTACTACTTTTATAAATAAATGATAGTTACCAAATAGACCACATCAACAGCGTTGTTTTGGTATAAGGGGCTTTCAGCAAGTCCCAAATTTGTCCACGCGTTTCCTAAACAGATAGTCATCATATGTATTTAAATTTGTACGGTATTTATCCAATGAAATAGCTCTGAGCTTCCCATCAATATATAGGAAATTTATTTAGTGTAAACTGCTACTAATAACTCAAAATACCTTCTCTTACCTTACTGGGTAACTTTATATCTTTATTATGCCAAAGCTTTCTGTTCACTCTCGCAATGCTACGCAAAATTAATATTGCTTTTGAACGTTGACCAGATATTAACAAATATCGTGGTGACTCGGGAATAATCTATTATTAATTTAATTGTAGTAATTTAGATAGAGCATTTTAAAAATTGATAACATTCATATATCTATAGCATACCTTATACATAAAGCAGAAAGCAAGGCATGGTAAGCTAGAAAAAGCTACGAGGTATCTCCAGCCAAGGGTAGGCATAACAATTAAGGCTAGGATAACCTCAAAATTGGCTCCGAGTGACGAGAATAACTGAGAGATCACCAAAATATGTATAAATGTAGTTGGTAGCAGATATATCGATAGTCAATTATTATCGCTAAGTAAATCTCTTAACCAAACGAAAATTTAAAAACCTTACTTGGAGAAAGACAACCGACCTAGCTCGAGTTTTGACGGGCAAGAATTCGCTATAAAGTGTAACTCTTTAGATTCATGAAAAAATATGCATGCGGATATACATTAATTTGATAAGTAATCAAGTTTAATCATATAACATTAAATTTACATAGGTACACATATAGTTAGGTTATCAATTATTAAAGCGATAATATATATACTCGTATTTATAACTGTATCTTACGCTTGTGCGGAACCTGATATGCCAAAACCAGCTAATCCTCTTGTAAGTACAATCCAGAAATAACTAGGAGACATTGCACATAACAGCCCATAAAAAAAAGTCCAAAATGTGGAAAGCAATAACCCCTGAATGAAATATCGATGTCGGTAATATTATTGTTAATAATTAGTAGGAGTTCTATTATCGAATATCTGCGTCAAATCTAAACCTACTCTTACATGTTAATACAAATTATCTTAAAGTCTTAGATATCTATTTTTAATACGCGTATTAGCAGTATAGTACTCGTAGTATTATTATTAAATGACTCATTACTGATTTATATATGAAATAGTCATTGTGAGCTAAAATAATAAAGAGATTATCTATAATCTTATATGCATCTAAAATCAATCGATATACCAATTTACGTCCGTAAATATCTGCAATCCAACCCCAAATAGGTGCTCCAAAACCGAAACCCACAAATACAATCTAGGTATTACAATACTTGATGTTATTTACCCGCCTTATCGTTATTGTATGATTTGAACTCGAACATTGTATTTATCAATCATAAAAATGATAGCAGCCGATTTTACTGTGGCTATGAAGGCTTCTTCCCATGACGAAAGATGCCACTCACAAAGGAGGATGGGACCAATAACAGATAGTAGCATCATTTCCATGGCATCGACTACCTGATTGATGCATAAAATATTGACCAGAATTAGATCGTATTTGAACGCTAGTACGGTATTCAATATAGTGTATTAATAGGATCATTGATCCCTCTTCAGTAAAGTAAAGTAAAGTTGTAGTCCAAACCTATCAATAAATTTTATTAGGAAATGTTCTAATAGCACACGAAAGTTTATGAAATGTTATCCATTTAATCATTTTCGACTTAATCATGTTTTCTATCTTTTAATACGTAGCTTAATTACTAGATTATTTTAAATTATTATAGCACTGTTAAGGATTGATAAACATACTAACCCAAGCACATCCCAATATAAATGTCAGCCGAATTTGATATTTACCAAATCCTAACGAATCAATTATCTCTCCAAGTGTGGTTGGATCGTTATCTTCTGATGAGCAAAAGGAACCTCGTTTCAATAATTGTAAGGAATAAAGTTGTAATTTAAAATGCATTAACGTAATCAATCTGTTCTTGGCTAATTGTTCTTTACATGCAAAATGTAAATATTGTACGAGTGTTTATGCTTGAAAGACTTCACCAAACCTATAAGGGTATAATTTGCTTCATGATTCTCAGAAGCAAATGGCAAAGAGTCGGTAGCTATGACTAGAAATATCATTGACGAATGGTATAGCTTAAGCATTTCGGCGATGCCACGGACTTGTCAATTTTTTTTAAACTTTACAAATCCATGGCGATGCTTACAAGGAACCGACGGCAGTTTATCTCGATAAGATTCAAATAGGTATCGCATCTGACTAAGGCTCAATAATAACACATACTAGACAAGGTGCATATCTTAGAATGCGCGATAGACGTGAAGGTAACCTATTTAACATCGAACTAAACATACACGCAACATAAACCATCTTAGCTGGTCCATATTCTTAATAGAGATTGATGTATGATAGCAAGTTATACAAGTATATGCGAGGTATAATGCGAGTATATCATGATCTCGATAGATATACATGTATGACCTATTTATAGGGCAAAGATGTTTAAGCAACAAAAGGTACTAGTATACTGTACACTATAGTCTAACAAGTGAATCAAGCTAAGAAATACTAAAATCGATTTTTCCTTACCTTGATCCCGGAGTAATGAATGAAGCTCAACAGATGATGTCACGTTATTCATTGCTATCGATGTCATTATCGTGAATTAAATGACTGGGAAATATTGTAGAACTTTTTTTTTTTTTTTTTGCCTTCCTGATCATGCTATACGCGATGGACGTCTACACCTAATTTCCTGAGATAGTGCGTGAGCTCTACTAGGATGAGATAGATTAATTGTAATCCTTGGAATGTCCTTTTCAAATCAAATGGAGTCTGTTATAATCTCTTACTGATGACTAGTTTATCTACGATCACCGTGGCGAATAATCATTATTAAAATATGTGTATCGTCCTACTAATATACTAACGTAATATCTATATCTGATAACTAGAACTACAATCGATAAGTTTATGAGTTATAATCATAGATTATAAATTATCAATATGTTATATTATCAAAATGCTTGCCCAGCAATTTACTTCAATATCTACAGGATAAAGTACGACGCTGCTATGATATAAAATGATTCGTTACAGTTTTAGCTAGAATCCTGTAAAAGTAGAGTCCGAAGGCTTCTTCGGCATTGCCTAAATACACGATCACTTGATCACTCTGTTACACTATTACCACTACATTACTCTGCTGTATATAGCTTTTTACTTGGCCTATTCTCCTGATCTCTGCTAATGTATGTGTAGATGTACCTACACACTTAGCTTAATATAACAGTATATACAGTACAAGTTTCAATCAAGTCAATTAACTAATAGCAAAAGTGCGAGCTGTATTTTATGCAAAGTGTCACAGGCCAACCTCAAGATCTACCACGATCACCAGTGTCCTATAGACTGTAACAACACCTGATTCAATTCGTTCAAGGAATAACACAGGATACAACTACCATTAATTAATATTATTATTTATTAATATTCTAGCCAGCAGCTCATTAAATAAACAGCCCCTGCTTTCTCCAATTCTGTGCCATATGGGTGTACTAGAGGCTCTTTTAAAGAGACTACTAGAGACCCTATTAAAGAGACTACTAGAGACCCTATTAAAGAGACTACTAAAGACCCTTTTAAAGAGACTACTAGAGACCCTATTAAAGAGACTACTAGAGACCCTATTAAAGAGACTACTAGAGACCCTTTTAAAGAGACTACTAGAGACCCATTTGTTAAAGAGACTACTAGAGACCCTTTTATTAAAGAGACTACTAGAGACCCTTTTAAAGAGACTACTAGAGACCCTTTTATTAAAGAGACTACTAGACCCTTTTACCTTAAAGAGACTACTAGACCCTTTTACCTTAAGAGACTCAAAGGATCTCTAGGGCGTACCGGTTACAGTGTGCTAAACAGTCCTGCGCACTTAGAAAGAGTGACGTCAGCTGGGCGGTTAATGTCAATCAAAGCGTGTCTATCATTTTTCTGGTCATTTTCCTGTACGCTATCTCTGAAACCGTACACCACACTGTACAGTACAGTGTATAGTCCAAAACCAACCAGGCAGCTCATTTTGAAAGTGCGCATTAAGGACAGTATAGTGTATCGTTTCAGCCATACGATTCAGTTGAGATGACCAGTCAAATAGTCAGTGCCATTAGTTTATTCCGGTGAACGACCGTCGTCTGTCCTTCTGCAACAATTGCTCGCTTCACTTGCCTTCCGTCGTGGACAGATGGACGTTTGGAAATAGACGACACTGGATGGTCCTGACACCAAGACATTCGCCTCTTCAGCTTAATGAATATGCTATACTATATGCAATAGCGAGCATAGGGATTTGCTCGCGTTTCAGCCATACAGTACTGTAGAGCTAAGTTTTCTATCGCTGGACCACTCCCAAAATAGACAGTAGTAGCAACAGCATGCGAACGTTAATGCATCGTGGACGAAGAGAATAGGAGCTACAGCAGTAGACAATCAATCCCAATCTCGATCCATTCGACTAGGAAATACTCCAGTAAGAATCACTGCCATTATCGTAGACTCTCGATTGTGGAGTGAATTGAACAGCAATACAATCATTTAGTCATTGCATACTCTATTACTGATTCTTCGATTGGACTGCAATTCAAATTACTGCAGTTAGCAGTCAATTGAATAAAAGGGAAAAAGAAATTTCATTCGACAATTGAATAATTGCTTTCATTGGTAGCTATGCATCGAACTCGTTTTATTTTGTCGCGTTTTCATATTTTGGGCGCTTCTGTTGCTGTAGGTGTTGGTCTAACTTATACCATCCATCGTCAATCGCAATATGGTAAAATCAATGCAGCTGTTAAACAACTAGACGATCAAGTATTCCAGCATACACCAACTAAATGGAATTATAATTGGGATAATCGTCAACCATTGGCCAAGGATGACTCTTCTAAAAATACAGTCATATCATCCGATCAATCTGCAATGCCTACAGCTTCTAGGATGATTATTTTGATACGTCATGGTAATTATAATACTCGCGGTTTGGAAGACAGTGATAGGAAATTAACAATTTTAGGTCATCAACAGGCTCATGTCACTGGTAAAAGACTACAATCAATACTGACAATGCCGGTGGATAACGTCTATTATTCTACCATGACACGAGCTACGGAAACTGCCAACATTATTAATCAATACCTGAAATATAAACATATACAAAATTGTTCATTAATTGAAGAAGGTGCACCAATCCGTCCAGAACCTCCTCTATCATCCTATCGACCAGATGATTATGTACGAGTGATAAATTGAATTTGCATTTCTTTAGGTTATAAGTAAGAATATTGGCGTATTATACTAGCACTGTTTTACGTCGATCAATACAGTAGTAAGCTTGTACTTTTATCGCTATAGCAAGTTAGTCATTCTGATATGCTTGATAAACATAAATACACAACGTATTGACTTTATCATTCTGACTGTTTTCATAGCAGTATAAAGTTGATCATGCTCGAATAGAAAGTGCTTTCAGGAAATATTTCCACCGAGCTGATGTCGACCAGAAGGAGAATAGCATTGATGTCATCATTTGCCATGCAAATGTAATAAGATATTTCGTTTGCAGGTAAGTAACAAGGAGAAAGAATCCTCCTAGAGAAGTTATCGAGTAGCAAATACTAACCAATATACAATATGCATGCATACAATGGTACGTTACATAGTGGCAATTGTCCGGGTGGGGGAAATGTCCTGGAGGCAATTGTCCTAGAATCGTTACATAGATAGTAAATAAATATTAAAATCAATTTCTTCTCTAAATACTACACGCGACGCGGATGTAACGTTAGCAAGATAAACTAACTTAAATAGCTGTGGACGTTAGTATAGCAGATCCTATATTATAATTAATAGAGACGTCTCATCTATCTTAATGATAATAACGTTATCGACGAAAAAGTACAGTAAAATATATAAACAATGTATCTATGCCTCGATTGGAAAGGTTGATGGTAGTATGTGGCACCAGTCAATAAAATTCCCTACTGTGCTAATTAGCAAGATACGCAGTAGTTACTTGTATGGTGGTGGAAGATGTTTTTTATTAGTTGCATAGAAAGTGAGGTCTTTCTGTAATTGCTGGTTCTTATCCTACGTTAACAATGAACTCTCAATAAAATTGTAATAAAAAGCTATTACTATCCACTGACGTATTAACTGGATTTGAGTTTTATCACAATTAACTTTTAATAAGCTGATATAATAACTTTCATCTGATAAATATAGATAAAATATTCTTATTTTTTTGCAGAGCTCTCCAACTGCCACCTGAGGCTTGGCTGCGGATTAGTATTGGACACTGTAGTATAACTACAGTTGTAATTCGACCATCTGGTCGTGTAACACTGCGTGGTTTAGGAGATATTGGACATGTACCTCCTGATCTCATCTCATTCTCCTAGTTATATTCAAGTTTGAATGTTAACTCTTTTGAATGTACAATACTTTCAGCATTCTTTTGCTAATGTTAACTTTATTTGTGTAACAAATCCTGTTAATAAGTTTATTCCTGATTGTAAATAATAATTTCAATGTGTGTTAAAATTTTAACCTCGCCTAATGAAATTTACCAAAACTTGACCACGTAGATATTACCTATCTTTCGTTATTACTAATTAATTATATTTGTAGTATCAGTTTCGCATTTGCTACTTTAAAGGTGAATACGCAATTATGTGCTCCATATTTTAAATATAATAAAGATGGAAGTATTACCCCGTGCAAAGAATACAGCTGCTATCATGCTATCTTGTTGGTAACAATATCCTTAGTACTTTATCTAGTTTTTAACGGAAAATTTTTCAATGGTACCAGTCGAATATAGACCAAAGTAAATAAATAAACAATCTCTGATATCCATTCGTATTATGAAATTACATTAATTTCTATTTTATAGCATGCAGATTTTGATACAATAATTTTAGTGTATTCGTCATCCTGACATCTAGGTCGATACAATTCGAAAATTGTATTATCAATCGCATAACATACCTGTTAAATAATCCAAAACGCAGCATAATATTTAAAAAATCTATGACACTACTGCTGCAGGACGTTTATTTATAAATTTATATGATATGCTACAAAACATTTAAACTGCCATACCCCAAAATAAACGGCAATTTCCAACATAATAATGCCTTTAGTATTTATTAATTACAATTAGTTTAAACCATGAATTTATGCTATCAGATCACTATTAGTATCTAGCTATTAAGCAAGAATACTTTCTGTACACATCATTATCCAATTTAATTTGGTATTAGTATTCAGAGATATTTACTAATAATGCTAATTCAAATAGAATCTATCCATTCACACTTGGTAACTTTTGACCAAATTATACCACCATATTATCAACAGTGCCTAAATAGCATTTATCCAGCAGCCCTACTATATATATTGGAAGACAGAATATCTATCTGGTCATTCGTCTAATATGCTCTGATAGCCCAGAAAAGTATACCATACAAGAACTAGTGGTAAATAATCTCGGAAATCGATTGATTAATTAATTTGTATCTGTGTACTCATTTTTAAATTTCTGATACGTAGGAATTACGTAAATAAGTGCTTATCATTTGCTCTAATTTTTAATATCGCAAAAGTATTACAATAGCTTCTCTATACAGTGGATCTTGCAATTCTGCTTCATTTTGCGCTGGCGTTTGACGTCTCCTAATTAAAATCAGCATACAAACAAACTATAATTCAATCATATTTAATAACAACTACAATGGTTGAGTTTCTACTTTCGTATTTGATTAAGTTTTTGTTGTATGGAAATCAATTTTAGTCATGCCCGTGTGTAAAAACTGATGACTTGCCTAGGCTAAATATGATAAAGTGGCTTAAAAATAATAAAATAAGAACTACGATTTCTTGTAAACTTCACTTTATTTCATAAATTAAGTTCGACTTGCAACTATAATTGTAATCTTAAGCTAATTTGGGTCTGGATGTAACAACTCAGTAGTTGGAACAAGACAACAAGAGTTAGCTTAAGATACTAAGTCAAGTTTAGAACTAAAGTTATCAACAACAGTTATCTATATTTCAAGAAAAATCATGGCTATATAGATAACGTTTATGCGTAAACATATTGCTATTGCTATCTCTATCACTTAATTTAGTTTTCATCACCCTAGTAAATATGTAACAGATTTTCCTACGTTATCCCACTTTTTCTATGACTCTTGTCTAGAACAACGTTTGACGACTATAACATTAAACGTTCAATCGTAATCATAATATCAAAATATTCTAATAATAGCTTTACTACATTTAGTATCAATAAGGTATCGGCATGTCATCAAATACATAAGGATCTTCTAGAAATATAAATGTCCTATTCTAAGACCTATTTTTACTTAAGTACATTTTAATGTCCAAAATTATAAGATTTATACTTTACAATACTAACGGTATTGTAACACTGTACTACAACAAGATATATTGAAATAAAAAATTACCGCATTATAGCTGCTAATTCTAATTTTAATGATCTTAATCGTTATATCATACCTGTAATAATCTTCCTCTGGTTTCAATTGGTAAAGTCAGCGCGAGAATACCACTTGATAAACATAAAATTGTATAAATTAATAAGCCTGCCAGATTAGATTTGGGAAAGATGACCTGTAAATAAGAAAAAATTACACATTACACTTACAAAATTTCTAGTAAACTATTCGCTTAAAATTATCTTAATTGGTTTTAGGGACTGCTCGAAGGAAGAGAAAGTCCCTGCTAGTTGACTGCCTCTTAAATAAACCGCAAATACCCCTTTAATAAGCTACGGATCGTAAATTAAAAGTTATAATTAAGAAATAACCTGAGCTACAAGAGGACTAATGAAAACACCAAAACGATTAGCAGCGCTACACATTCCAAGGCCAATAGCTCTAATGCTTGTAGGATACACCTAGAAATAATTCAGGTTATGAAATGATTTAAAGTAATCTACCATAGTTGTCGAAAATTTCATTTAGACTTTACTAATGTTTTCATTAAATTATTACATCCTGCACTGCCATAAATTTAGCTAATTATATAATTATCTACTCATTCAGTTATTCTACGTTATTACAAGTTCTAACAAGTTTATATTAGGCTATGATACATTTTTATTAAACCGAAATATTAAAGAGATGTAATATATAAAGCGATTTAGAAAAGCAATTTTTACCAGTACGTGTTATATATACATGTAGACGCATTAACAAATGTAAGTGCCGAAACAAACTGGCACAGGGCTGCGATTTATATCCTGATCGAGATTATTAATGCATAAAATACTACTAGTATCTTATTAAAATTAAAAATAGGGCGGAATGCATTAATAGATTAGATTAATTTCATACCTCTGCTGTATAAAGGATTATCGTCTGAAACACTGCATTTGAGAATGCTCTAGTACAGCTTAATAGAATAGTTTTCGTCGCTCTATAACAAAGAACACATAACAGGTACATCAATTTGATAAATTAACCATTAGATAGGCAAATATTATTCACTATTAATAAATCCTAAAACTATATTTGCTCAACTTTATATATACAGATAGTCAATTAGGAGAAATATTATACTAATAAATATTGTAAAATGATATCTTAAAACATAATAATCTAAAGAACGGTTAACCTAATAATATTAGGAATATCAAAATGAAGTCTAATTGATACCGTAACATACAAATATAAAAGTTTAATATAAAGCCTTAGCCGTACAATAGGACCAGAAGTATTATAATTCTTTCCTCATGATCACCGTTAATATCTGTAATTTAATGACTATTCTGCCGTTACATGACAAAAGGAAGCAAGGTCAATTTTTTCGAAAATTGAGTTTATTGACTCTAATTAGTTATTAGGGTGTAATCTAACGGCAGACTAAATTTGATGCTGTTCCTAGTATTCTCTGCCTATTTTTTTACTCAATTGGTATGACCCATTGAAACGGAATTTCTACCATTATATCGTACGCTAAGTTCTACAAAGTTACTAAACATCGCTGAGATGGCTATATGACCTTGCTTCCTTTTGTCATATAACGGCAGTATTGGTAAGTATCGGAAACTATTAGAGTCGTGATTGCAATCTATAGTAAATTTTTAGATAAAAGGTCCATAGATAACACAATATGAAGTCCAAGCACATATTTATACTATAATAAGTGTTCTATCATAGCTGTGATAATAAAGGAGCATACAACATGGATCAGGACAGAGACGGTCTAATATCATGCAATATCACACATCAGATACACAGCTACTAAACTTTAAAATTATACAACATATACTAGTATGCATAATTACTATCATTAATAATTTTATTTCAGGCAAAAGTTATATTGAGAGAATTGTTTGTATTCCAAACTTACGATGAAGTACATGCTATTAAAAACGGAATGGGAATTCCTGCTAGGAAAAACTGCAACGCTATACCTTTCCTTCTTCCCAGTAATTGAATTATAATAAAGGAGACTATTAACCCTACCAAAAATAAGGCAAGTGATCATTAAGCATATTTATTAATTACGCTTAGACATTATATTCAATTGACGTCCTGGTATAAATCGAAAACTTATAACTAGGAGACTTAATGCTAAAACAAGAAACATATGACATTATGAGCCCATTGTTAGATTTATCCTGCCGAAATCTACCTGCAGAATAATCCTGAATACTAATGATCTCCTGTCATCAGGAGTCTATCTTAGATAAAAACTGAAACCAAGCTTTATTAAAAGTCAGTCAATCTATAGTACAATGACAGTAACATTAGTTATCCTTACTTAAATAATACTTGCATTATAAAATTTTGCATTTATCTATAAAAGAATATATAATGTCATAGACAACAAATAGCAAAGTATACTATCCGATGAAAATAAGATAAGCATTAATTAGCAAAAATCACTTCATGACATGTCGTTTTACGTCTAGCTATACTTATTTACAGCATATTTAATTATTCAAGTTACTAACCAGGAATCTCAGCGAATGCTGTAGCTATAAGATATTGATAATGTTTGGTGGTTAATGGCTTACAGGAGCAATCACTAATCGTGTTCCTTACAGTGTTATCATTTCCTAACAGATTTTAATTTTTACCAGGTAAGTCTGATTGTCATAATTGCGACGATAATATTAATAATAAAACATGTTGTGTAAATTGTGTTATTTGATTACCACAATTTTGATTGACAAGCAGAAGTGGGGATAATAAAATCATACCAAAATAGCAAAACCCAGCGCTGCTCCTAATTCATAGAAATCATTACTTAAATACATGAAATAATTACTACTTACTAATGTCTTTCTGATATTTAATATCTATCCGTGCCATAGGTAGTAGCAATAAGTCGATACTACTTATGATAGCATAAGCTACTCAAAAAATTATTACAGCAGTACCTAAGAATATAAATATCTTGATTAGCTATGTAATTTATTGACAACAAATAAACAAACTTACCAAATAAGAAATAATAAAATTGTTGTCTTTCGATGTTGCTTCTTGAATAAGGTACGGATTTGTCCAAGACTATCCTATGATTGGAAATGAATATTTCTCACTGTAAGTGCAATCTTTTATAAATATATATCTTCTATTCTAAATATATGCTCCGTAGATATATCAAAATACATATGTAATAATTCGACCGTATCTAATGTAGAAGTTCTATGATTATAATAGACCTTTTCTGGTACAATGAGATCTCCTTCTAAAAGAGATACTCCATTTGCTTTAGCACCATCAGCTAAGACCTTAAGGGTTTTGTTACGTTGACCAGAAACTAGATAGAATCGGGGAGATTCAGGTACGAACTAAGATATAGAAATGTTAGTATTAGTAACGCCATTTTTGTTTTAGCAAACTAAATTGTAATAGCGTTCTTAACATTTCCTACCTTGTATAAAAGGCAGAATACAAGGCATGGGATACTAGCAAATCCAAGAACGTATCGCCAATCTAGTGTTGGCATAACAAGCATCGCTATTAAATTGGTAAGACAGCCACCGATAGACCAAAATACCTACCAAGTCATGAAAGTATTCAAATTAATATATTTAAAATTTTAACTATTTAAAATATTCATATTTAAAATAGAGTAGAAAATTAATAGTTATACCGCAAGGACAAGTATTGATAGGCATCGATAAATTTCTGGTAAAAACTCGCAGTAAATAGTAACTCTAATTCGATAGAATAGTTTCGAAATGCATTTAAAACAGTAGTCATGCTTAATTAATTAGTTTATAAAAATTTGTATTCTAATAATATCATACTAAAAGATTAATCGTTTCAAGCTGTAACTGAATTATATTGGTAGTACCATCTCATATAATACACGATAGCGTTACTAGCAATGTTAGATATCTTACACTTGGATAGCACCAGAAATACCAAAGCCAGTAAGACCTCGTGTAAATACTATCCAAAAAAAACTTGGAGAAGTGGCAGAGAGTAGAGCATAAACAAATGTCCATAAAGTGGAATAGAAAACCGCCTATTTATGAAAAAGATAGAAACAGAGTAAAAATTTGTAAAGGATTGAATACTTTGAACAGCATCGGGCGGTTTCAAGTTTCTATGATTTATAAGAACTAGACTAGACAATTTTAAGTTTTAGTGTGCTTAACTAGACAAAAACAGAATATTTTAAATTAATGGTAGATAATTACAAGGTTCTACTCTTTAATTCCTTAGAAATAGATCTTTCCATCTAAAGAATTTAACTTATTTATTAGGTAATTTCAGAAATTAAACGTAGCTGAATCTCTAATACTAATCAATTACAAAGATCTATATATAATTAAAATAAAACTTATTATAGCAACTTTAACACCCACTTTGATTAGGTAAATATCACTAGTCAATATTTCGAAGTAATACCTAGATCTTAAAGTTCGATACTCTGATATATGAGTAGAAAAATATTTATATTGATCTTCATATTTGATTTATTTAACTAGGGAGATATGGAATATATTCTGACTAACACTAGACGATTTTAAACTTTCATATTCTAAATTATCGAAGCTTAATACATGAATACAGTCATCTTAATAATTAGGTATATTTTATTTTGTAGGTGATAGTTTAAATAATGATTGTAATCAGTATTTAGAAATATATTGACTGTGAAAAAACTAAAGATATAGATGGATACGCGTTTCATAATACAATCAATCTATACTATGCGCTATACTGCTTTAATCCGATTGTATCATTTATCAACAAATATTAAATTATACTCTAACACGATACCATTTTCCTTCCGTAAACATCAGAATACCATCCCCAAATAGGGTCACCAATGAACATACCAATAAATGATACCTGAAGAAGATCAATTTATTAACAAAATTATACTACTTGCTTTGATATTGCTCTCTTTTATTAATTTTAGATAATTCAAAATAAATTTTATCTCTCTTAATAGAACTACCATTGATATCAAAGCTGCTTGTATTGAAGAAATATTCCAAGCGCATTCTAAAGCACTGGTTAAAATAGATTGGAGGTATACCTCCATACCAGCCACAATCTACAGTAAGCCATCAGAAAGTACATCCATTGTTTTCATCATATTTATAATATAAAAATAGAATCAAGTTGTTTTCTTTACTTATATAGAAGAATATTAATTATTCTCATCATATTATGATAAAAGCAGTCGCTACTTCCACGTAAGAGGTTAGATACTACGTTCATAGTCATTAATGAAATATCAATAAATAGGATTAGAGCGGTATCTAAGCCAGGATTGTTAATCTAGAATAGCAAAAGTGGATACGCTCGCCATCATTTCTGATTGAAACATATATAATACCACGGAGGTGTAGAATCTGTGCCTACCTAAAACAACACATGTATCTCGATATATTGTATGCCATTTCCAGTATCTAAGTAGTCATTCTCTCAAGAAAAAACTAGCGTTAATTCAATGTTTTTTTCTTAAGTTTGATTGACACTTTCAAGATATGAATATAAGTTGATGTACGGTACTCGTCATCATTTCTAATTAAAATATATATAATATCGTAGAAGTGCAGGAACTGTGCTTATTTTAAACAACACACATATCCGGATATATACTGTGCATATTTCTAAAGTTTATGCATTATTCTTTAAAGAAAAAACTAGCCGTAATTTAATGTTTTTCTCTTAAGTTTGATTAACACTCCCAAGATATGCATCTAAAATGCAAGCTGGAGTGATCGCTGACTGAATATCCTGCTGTAAGATCGTTATTCATGGCTAATATAAAATAAATTGTCAGTTGCAGTATTGTACTATCACTGAATTAATAATGATAGGATAGTTTTTATCAGTTCCAACATTATTATTTACCAGCTACAGGACTATTTTTTAATTTTTATCAATACAGACTTAATTTAGTCGTCTTTGCTTTGTAAAAATCGATCGAAATAGCGGACATAGTACACTCTTAGTTTGGTAGAGTTATTCTAAAGTTGTAAGCAATGTACAATAGGCTACTTAATTTCGTTAAAGGCTAATTTTGATTCAATTTAGCATAACATTCGTTGACTAGTAAAATAATTTTATTCGGCGTAGTATTGCCTACACCAAGAAATTAATATGGTATCAATTTCTATCTGCTTGACTAACCCAAATACAGCCTGCCAAGAATGTAAGTTTAATTTGATACGAACCAAACCCAATATGATTGATATACTCTTCAATAGAATAAGCCTTTCTAAGATTAAAATCTGAGATAAAATAAAGAAACTTTATCAATTTTGCTACTTGAAACTGTATAAGTTTGAACAAAAGCTTTTGCTGCCATCCTTAAGCCAAAAATGTTTTTGATATAAATTGAGGCGATTAGACAAATTTTATATCCGGTAATGATGAGTGACAAATATCATAGACAGTATTAGTAAATCATACTTAAAGAAGTATAAAATAGATCAAAATAGTATTTCGGCCATTTAAACTATCGCGATTCTATTACAGATTAATGATCTTTCTAGGAATATCAAGGAAGTTGGAAAATGGGCCAGGATCACTGAATGCATTCTGAATAGTAAATGTTATCATTTTAAGTTTATACTGATAACTGCTAACTTACGCTGCTATATTATAGGGTATACATAAAATTAGAAAGTCAAAGCAAGTACTTTTTATACTTTACCAGATAAATTGGATGTTGTTGATTGCTTTAATAGTCTTTCCCTAACTTCTGAGTCTGTTTCAGCCATGTTTCTCTTTCGCAGTACGCGTACTATTTTATACCGAAATAACTATCGATTAACACAATCTTAAGAACTGTGTAAATCACAACTTAATTCTAGTCGATAGCTATAGTACAATTGAGGTTGAAATAGGTTGTTTTCTATCCAAACTGATGATAAAATGACAGGTTTATCGATTTATTGAAAGAGCTGTATAAAATTATAGAACTTTAAATACACTAGAAAATGCTATTACTGACAAACTACGATCGAAAATAACGTCCTTGAGTTCGTTTTCCAGAGTTATAACGCTGTAAAAGTATCTATTCTATGAACAACATGTATTTAAGAGTAATTTTTCGACACTATATTATACATGGGTTCTAATCCTATAGTTTCTATCGTCAATAAACTCAAGCAAAAATAGATCTTAGACTGTTGCAGTATTCTAAGATATCTACATTTAAAATTACTATTTTATATCTGTCTTCTCGTTAGCTTCAACGAGAATTTTACTCAATAGCCATTGATTCTGCAATGGGCTAGGCCGACGGAACGATCAACAGGTCTATTCTTAAGCAATTGTAAGTACCATCCCATAGGGATTTTGTGGCTATGGCATTGTTTTATTCAATTGTAATCTAGCTATTTATCTTATTGTAAAGTAACTTACTATAGTGATTGTAGACTATTAGCCATGTTTAGTGTGATGTACAGAAGTGTCTTTTCTATATTTATCTTATGATACAGTATATTTAGTAGCCCATAATTATACAGTAGGCCGTAAGAATAGACTCTATGCTAGAGTACAGATGACCATATACAGTAAGGTGTTGAGCTACTAATAAGGTTAGAGGTAGAAATAGATATGTAAATCATATAGTAGTATATGCTTAGTTCATTGTACTTTGAGTGGTAGGAATAATGTCTACGAAAATACAGTAATCATTTCTATACTGGATTAATGATGGTTCGTTGTAAAATATTGGAACTAATAATAAGCTGAATATGTGTAAAATATAGTAGAATGCTGCTATGCTGATTGTAGCTGCGAAACACTACGGAGAGTATAAAAGCTGGAAACATTAGATTATCTGATTGTTCTTTCTAGAAATTTTTCAGTAGTTATATTCGGCTAGATTAGGGCAGCATGTAGCTAGTCTTTGTATGAGATCTAATAAAGCTCCAATTTTCTACAACTTTGGAATTTTCGTGATCGGATTTTATCACGCTTATCTATATATAATCCCTACTTAGCCAAAAAACATATTTTAAACCACCAAAGCTATTCGAATGATTTAATAGCTTTGATGGCTTCAATATATTTTATGCTATCTAGAAGTTATGCATAAATAAGCTATGATGGTTTAAAATATATTTAAAGCTTTTATGTTCAAACATAAATAAGTTTTGATGATTTAAAATATGATTCTATACTGTCTAGAGATTACATATAAAGATTAATAATTTCGGTATATCTGTAGTATTGGCTTAATGTTTAAATGAGTAAGCAAATCCTCTTAGTAGTAGTGTGGTATCTTAGTAGTTGTTACAGTGTTATACACTGTATTACAGTAGAAATAACTATGTTAGGATAATTCTGTTAGACTATCCTTATTTAGTTAACTTCTAATTTGGATATACTGTATTTTAATATAGCACTGACTTTTTATGACAGTGACACTTATACACATACTGAAATTATAATAGTTATAATAGGGAATGCAAATCATCTGCTTACAGTTCGAATCATTGTGATTGTAATTTACTTATGGTAGACTGTAAATTATCATGGAAATGTTCCGTGATAGGACATATCGTAATCTGACTATTCTGTATTAGTCATTATATGTCTATGTTCGTAAATACTGTTGTCTGCATTAAGGGAGCAGTAGCTAAAATTAATATTTAATTCAGTAAATGATTCTAATGTTAATTGTATTAACTATGACTCATGAACTATTGAGGAATAGTATATAAATGCAGTATATCGTGAAATAAAGAAGAATTGTCTAACTTAGTGTTTAACGTAAAATACGAGGCGTTTAAGTCTTTGTGTAGTCTGCTAGTAGAGCAAAAGTGTTTGTGATAGTGCAGATATCGTTCCTTGATACGTGGTTCAAGGAATTGACTTATTGATCGTATATTGCGTTATCTTGTTGCAAAGCTGTTTTGTGACAGTAGTCTAGTCTAAGAATTGACGTATATATCTTATGGTTGATTTCCCTACTACTCGGAGTGCTAACTCCTATCGAAACGTTAAGTAACCTTTTTATATAATAATAACGAACTTCAATTACAGTCTCGACAGGAGTTTACTCATCAAGTAGCACGTAAATCAATCAAAAGACAAATATACTAATTCTTAAATTAGATTGTTACAAAGCTATAATACTACGAATAGAATTTGCTGAGTCATTGAAACATAAAGCTAATATTGTAGATACGCTAGGATTAGTAATCTTCATACTTAATACTTAGATAGCAAAATAATATACCGTAATTTTAATCATCTAAGCTATTCGAATAACTTAAATTATTGCTCTATATAGTTATTGTACGTAAAAATCAACAGGCAGTTCATTCAAGCTAAATATAAAGAATTGATCACTTTATTAGTTCAATGTTATTTATGTAATTTAAAAGAGGGGAAAATGATTAGTGTAATCGATATTTACTACCGATAGCATATTTAAATGATTGCAATTTATGTTAGCAACCCGCGTTAGCGTAATGCCGAAGATACAATGATATCAATATAAAGACCTATTAACCCATCACATTATTTCGATCACCTTTACGCCAAAAATATTACATATTCGAATTAAAACTACGATATACTCGTTTCTTTGAATTTCCATCAATAAATGATGTCAGATACTGAAGAATGATTAAAAAAAGTCCATGAAAATAGTTGCTTAATTGCATACTAAATTAGATGAACAAAGCAACGGATATCTGAGTAGTTATATTAAATATTGATAGCAATTTACATGCAAAAATCAGGCTTGCAAAGTGGTAATCAATCAAGATGGGGTTGAATTAAGAAAAACTCACAAAATCACGATAACTATCTGAATTTGTACCAATACTAATGTTAATACTGAAGATTAGAAATAGTTTGGAAAGGTAGTTGCAGGATCATGAGCGGAATCACTCGAATAGATGACCTAAAAAGCACCGTAATTTTGTTAATGCATTTAAATACAGTAAAAATCAACCCTGTAATATAATAGAAGAAATTAGTTCTATAGTAATCCTAGCAGCATAGTTCTATCGTTATAATAAGATCATTTTTAGCATACTTCAAACTGAAGTAGTTCCGAAGTTAATTTATTTAGAGCAATTTTATACCTCAGTTATCAATTAAATTAATAAACGATGAATAAAACTCTAGTTTAAATATTCAACTCTTGTACTACTAGTGACCTTTGGACAATGGCCTCTGCTCCCTTGCATTTGTATTATTATTATACGAGCTAAGGTAATTAATTGCTTTTCTATTAACTATCTTACTATGCATTAAGCTTAAAGTCTTATTTAATGTCACTGCAAGATATTGTACACGTACATGTATCTCATCAGGATCTAATACGCGATAATAACGCTTCCTTTCAGACACTCTCATACCAAGCATGTCTCTATAGACTCGTTTTATATACAAATATCTACATGGGTTCCTACTAGGACATTGTAAACCTGTTTAAAAATCTAATGATGGCCAGTTTAAATTTAACTGGTGAAATATTTGCAAGCAATTCCGAACATTCAATTGATAATCATTCAGTACTTGGTGATCAATTAGGTACATGAAAGATAATTTCGAACTTAGAATTTCGTGATATCGGATGATTTCAGAATTAGAGACTTTTCAGATACAACAAAATTATATAATGCCTAGTAGTTGATTGCAAATTGAGAAGAAAAATAATTTTACATATCATGGTCAAGAACTATTTACATCCGTTGATCAGCTCTTTAACTTTATGGTTGCTGTTAAAAATAATATACAAAGTATGTGCGAGATCTTTGATATAACATTTCTCACTTCCATATTAGATTGCGACCAAGACCGCACAGTCGAAGATTGTATTAACTCGATAGGATTTGGCAAGTATCAAATTCGACTATTATTATTGGCAGGATGCGATACGGTAAGATAAATGAGGGTAATTATAGATTAATTCAGATTTTAAACAATTTTTCTTATAAAGTCTTCTTATAATAGGAAAGTATAATCTACAAATAGGATAAGAAATAAAACTTACACTTTTTTCTATTATTGAATTCAAAATTTTTATTTGACAACTCCGATCCAATATTATTGCAGTCGATCTTATCATAGATCTGATTGATTAATTCTACCTTTTAAGTTTAATATACAACAAAATAAAACACTAGATATAAAATAATGATAGATATATTACTAATCACCTACATAGTTTAGATTCTATCAGATAATACAGCATTTATTCTTATGACTTCATTAATCACCAGAGTTGTATCTGTACAATCCATTCTAACAACATTCAATATCGGTCATATTCCAATCTAATTTAGAGCACACATCAGAAATGCTAATTGAAGCCATTTTTATTTTATATTTCTTAAATGACGATAATTATTTATTTAGGCTAGCCTGTCGATAGGTGGATAATACTGTATTTATAATGTCAAGATACGTAAACACAAAATGTCCGAATCTTAGTAATGATAATTTTAGTACTAATAGGTTAGGATTTAATGATACATATTAACCGAATTCTATCATACTCTACATTACCTAGTTACGATTCTTTCGGGCCAATAGTAATTCTATCTCACTCAAGTCTGCCTTAATTCTATCTATGGACTAGCTAAAACACGTATTTTTTATATTGATTACGAAATTAGCTCGTTGATGCCATGGAAGTCATGTTATTAGCCATTATTGGACCTGTACTTCTATGTGAATGGTCTCTATCGCCATGGCAAGAAGCTTTCATGACAACGGTATCGATATCCAGATTTTAACAGCTACCAGATATACTACATGTACATTGTACAGTAATCGACGGACCTATGGATATATCATAGATATTAACGCAGAAACGAATACTATTTGAACTAAATTTTCGTAATCGTCGATAAATTATAATATTGCCAATGTATGAACTACTTATATTATAACCCATAATTTGATGGACTTGCAGCTGATTATTATATCATTCTCTAAGGAGCTATATTGTTTTGTGCACAGTATTGAAGACTGTAGTTGCAACCACCACATAATCATAATTATGGAAGTACTCCAATAAAATTATGAGATACGCCACAGTTATACGGTAGTAGGCTCACGAGTTATACCGGACAGTAAACTCAAACTAATATGGGATGAATACGATAGAAATGGAGATTGCAATCCTATTATGATAGCCAGACCCGTTATTGTAACGGGCATTTACTGCTAGTTGCTTTAATTTATTTTCTATATTCTTTTACAGTTCGTTTTTATTGGGATAGGTATTGGCGCACTCTTTTGGGGTTGGATATGTGATATCTATGGCCGTAAATTGGTAAATTGTCTCAAATATACTATTTGATCACGATCATACAATATTATTATTTTGCTAACAATCCATAACAGACAAGATCATGACGTCAGTAATTAGTGATTGATCTGCTAATAGCAGAAATGCAATAATGGCTGCTTACTTTGCCAAACAGTATCATATCGTATCTAGATACTAATTGCAGCTTATCAAATACGGTCACTTTGCATATCTTAAATTATAAATATGGACCTAATTTTACAATGCTATGCAAGCTATTCAATTGGTAATATGTTATATGAATTATTTTTATTATACAACTTATTGAAACACTTTGGTTTTGCAACAAATACTCAGTAGTCTTAGGGTTAAAATATTCTGGACCGGAAATAGATATTTAAAAAACATTATTCTACTGTAACCTGGAGATAATGTGGACAAATCTATAAATTTCCGATATAAAATCTATTTAGTAACGTAGTGTACAATTGATAGTGTTTACATAAGGTATTTAAGATCATACTAATTTTCATCCGGCTTAAGTTTTGCTAGGGCGATCTTAAGGAATACAAGTGATTTAGTCAGCAATATAGAATTCATAACTCTGTCACTTTGCTGAGAATAGTCTTTAAATTAGCTCGTACGGCATCTATTTTAAGTATTTTAATCTTATATATTTGTTAATTTATTAGGGTGTACTCTCAGCAGCTATCCTAACATTCTACTACGGGTTTCTGTGTTCTTTTTCTCCAAGTTATTTCTGGATTATTTGTACAAGAGCATTAACTGGATTCAGTTTATCGGGATCTACTCAAATGTATGCCATTACATAAAATTTTTAAAGTGCTTTAGCCATTCTAACGATCATAAACAAAAAACTCTCACAACTGTGATTAAAATAGTAGATAGTGCATCTACTGATGGTAATTCATGAACATCTCATAACAAGAATAAATTACTACTAACGTGCCTTTATTGTTCGATGCTAATATTCTGCATTTATCGTCATTGAATTGATAGGGTGACAATTCTTAGTGAATTTTTGCCGACGCCCATTAGAGCTCGAGCTGTCATCTTTCTCTCGGTACTTATGCAGAATTAAATGCAGCGAACAAAACTAAGTCCTTTATAGCCCAATACTCTATTTATTGTCGTATATTTTAGGTATTTTGGTCAACAGGAGTTACTTTAGAAGTTCTTCTAGCCTATGCAATCATGCCACATCTTGGTTGGAGGTATCTGGTGGCAATTTCTACTTTCCCCTGTATTTTCTTCTCTTTTTTCTTCAGAGTAGGATCAGTTTTATTCCTTGATATGCTATTTAGACTCAAATATCTGTGAACTGTCTTCTAGTATATTAATAACAATTTAATGATTAGTATCTTCCAGAATCTCCACGGTATTTAATAAATTCCAGACAATACGCCAAAGCAGTAGCTACTTTACAGAATGCAGCAAGAGTGAATGGTAAGCCAATTTTGCAGGGAACTATTAAGCAACCTACAAAGGTCTGTAAAAATTTTGCGATTATTTACTCACTGTTGAGTGCTTTATTTAAACCTATATAATAAGATAAATAAGGCATTTATATTGGTAGTATTGCGATATTACTCTTAATGAAAATTTAAATAGATGAATTATGGAAGACTGCGAAACTTATTAATGCCACCGTATAGAAAAACAACATTATTACTTTGGACAATATGGTAAAGATGAATGCTCCTTCATATGATCAGTAAATAAATCCTAGTAACCTGATACCTTACTTCATGGTGCTCTATTCGAAATTTTGATTAGAGTATCTACTAAGAATTTTTAAAGACTATCTGATTATTATAGACTTAAAATTAATTCATTCTAATAGTATAACAGGTGGTTTATTTCATTCAAGATATTCTATTTGTTAACAATCAGGTTCTGTACTGGCTTCACATACTACGGCATTATATTAATTGCTCCACTGGTGTATTCTACTGATCACTGTGGTAATTTATCTATCAAACTACTCTTGTAATATTATTTAATTCTATTAACTAAGTGATCCTATTATCATACTCTAAATCAGCAGCAATCTGATTTTTATAGGTGCAAACAGCCTTGTACAATCCAAGTGTGATTGTAAAGTCTTAACCACAGCTGATTATGGACAACTTTTAATTACGACCCTCGCAGAATTTCTAGGTTGATCTATACATATAATACTAGCAGTAGCATTACTTAAACTATTTCAATCTGATATCTACATCACTTGATGATACTATTTGTTAGGCACATTTCTATCCTTTGCTTTAATTGAAAGACTAGGAAGGAAAAAATTACTAGCCTTGGAATGTTTAATATCGGCGGTATTATTTTTTGTCTTGATTGTCTGCAATATGACAATGTAAGTCTGATTCATTTTTATATGTATTAATTAAATCGACCTTATTGTTCTATGCGTATTACTTTATAATTGCAAGTAATATGTATAAAACTATTGCGATTCCCTGATCTATAGTCAAACGAAGACTATCATAATGTTCATAAACAGAGCTATGCTGGTAGGAGAGTATCAAGTCATCACTCTATACACACCTGAGGTATACCATTTAATGCTACTCCTAAGGTGTTAATTCCTTCATATTTCCTACGCAAATCAATTTTACTTATAATATCCAGATTGAAGTTAAACTCATAATGTAGTTGAGTCAATAACAATAGTAAGGCGCTCTGTACACTCCTAAGTATACAGTTCCGTCTAACACTACTTTAAAACGTTAATTCCTTCATTTTCCTATATAAACTATAAACTAATCCTATTTACAATATTTATAATACAGTTAAATTTATAATCTAGTTTAGCTGATAGCCATGTTAAGACGCTCTTTATATACCTGAGGTATACCATCTAATGCGACGTCTAAAATGTTAATTCCTTAATATTCGCTGCATAAATTAATTTTATTTTATTTATAATATTCATATTACAGTTAAATTTATAATCTAGTTTAGTCAATCACAATAGTAAGGCATTAAATGTTTATGAATTTTTATCATCGTTCTAGAGAAGCATTACAATTTGGGTTTAATTTGCTTCCTTGTTATTTATATAAAGTATTTTGCATGGCAATTATATTTACCTATACGTAATAACATATTTATTCCGTATTTCCAGATATATCCAACTAGCTCTCGAGCAAGTGGTTTAGGCTTCTGTAGCGGTTTTTCTCGACTCAGCGCCATGGTTACACCGTTTATTGCGCAGGTTTTAGCGAAATTTAATTTTATACAATTTGATTCTAACAGCTAAACTTTGCATTCCCTTTTCATCGCAATTTTGTGTAGTGTACCTCTCGATAGTTGCCATAACAAAAAACGACTGATAGTTCATTTCATAAGATCTGGAAGACGAGCATCAGATTCATTTGTTTCATATTCTTGCTATTAGTCTGCTTTTAATGCTTACTACGTGAAATTGTCTCAGTATTACGATGCAATAAATAGGTACTGTACTACTATACTAGCTACAGTTACCCGTTTCTTGCACAAATATTTAGTTATATTTCTATTCCTTATTCATTGCTCCATCATGACGCACATCTATGTTTTCATCAGGATTGGAATATTATGACGACAAATCACGATTACATTTAATCCGTAATTTAATATGCATACTCGTGTATCGAAATTTTGTATTTCGAAAGATAAATATTAATGTATGTACATAATTTTACATTTTCTCTATGATGCTTCGAATAAATTCCGCCTATAGACCAAACTTAAATTCGATTTCGTAGTCTCAATTACTACCATGCAATCAGTAAACGTAAACTCATTGCAAACTAGGAAAACAAAATTAATTTAGAATCTAAAATTATTGATACTTTAATTTGATAAATTATAATTATTAATAGATACCTCTTCTTAGTTGAATATATTGAATAGACTACTTTATTCTTGATATATAGATTGTCTTTACAAAAACGAAGGCTTTAGCTTTATCCATCTATGGACTAGTGTCACTTTTGAGTGCTGCATGTTCAATTATGCTACCTATCGAAACTAAAGGACGCACAATGCAGGTAAAATTAGACTTTAAATGATCGGGATTGGTGTTACAAATCTAACCAGAAAAGTAATTATTCATTGAAGTATGTCTATCTCAAAGGCTAGATAATGCTCCAATTTATCTAGAACTAGTCTCGCTTAATAAATATATTTCTATTTATAAGGAAAAATTATAGGTTAAAATTAAATAGTCCTTTAATTATAATAGGAATAGCTAGCATTTTGGAAAATTATCATCAAAGCTACTGACATATCTCGAAGGAATCTGACTGGGCACAAACAATACCAGTACAATAGCTGCATGATATATGATTGAATATAAGTATTAAAAAGATGAACTTTCAAGATTTTGTTGCAATAATTTTTATTAATTTATCGCTTCGTACAATATGTATTTTTAATATCCAATGCTAAAATAAAAGCTGATGCAAATAAGATTTGGATATATTTCAGCTGCTTAGCAGTTTCAATTCATATCTGTGTAACGTGTAATTAATAAATTTGACTATTTTAAGTTCATTTACATCACAAACTATCAGACTTTGTACATATCTATAATGTTCTTGTTTTGACATCAAAATTAAGTAATAGCAAGATGATTAGACTGTCGATTAACTTGAAGATTAATAGATTCCTATACGATTACTTTATGTGATGTCCTATTTTAAAGCCTTCTAACTCACTTTCTGTTGCGTCATAGAATCTCAGCAATTAGAATAATAAGATGGAGTAGCATATATCATAACATTTTTATAAAAGAATTAATTTTCGAATAGATGTATTCATTTTAGCAACTTTTATTAACATTAGCCTTAGCTTGGCATCGTAAATTATTATCAGAAAAAATTTAATAGTTTAATTCCGTGGCATTGCAGTCAACTTCTACTTGTATGAAATATTTCTGTTACAAATCGATTGAAATAAATTTCTCTAAATTTGGCAGGTTTATGCAAAATATATAGTCTTACTAAAGGGACTGCTATTATTTATCATATATTTGAATAAAATAGCAGCACAGAAAAGTAAAAGAAATTCTTTATCTAGTTCAATACAAATGGACTAACGTATCGCCTAAAAAATATTACATCATTGGAATCAACTAGGGCTAGAGAAATAACGAAATTTAAGCTATTTATTTACTGATGGAGATAATCAAGATTTTTAAATGATTTAAGAATACTAGAGGACGTCAAATATTATTCTTAACAGTAAGAAATATATCAATAATAGTAAGTTCAATTACTTTCAAATTTTTATAGATTAGTGTCACAAAACAGCTTTGCAACAAGATAACGCAATATACGATCAATAAGTCAATTCCTTGAACCACGTATCAAGGAACGATATCTGCACTATCACAAACACTTTTGCTCTACTAGCAGACTACACAAAGACTTAAACGCCTCGTATTTTACGTTAAACACTAAGTTAGACAATTCTTCTTTATTTCACGATATACTGCATTTATATACTATTCCTCAATAGTTCATGAGTCATAGTTAATACAATTAACATTAGAATCATTTACTGAATTAGATATTAATTTTAGCTACTGCTCCCTTAATGCAGACAACAGTATTTACGAACATAGACATGTAATGACTAATACAGAATAGTCAGATTACGATATGTCCTACCACGGAACATTTCCATGATAATTTACAGTCTACCATAAGTAAATTACAATCACAATGATTCGAACTGTAAGCAGATGATTTGCATTCCCTATTATAACTATTATAATTTCAGTATGTGTATAAGTGTCACTGTCATAAAAAGTCAGTGCTATATTAAAATACAGTATATCCAAATTAGAAGTTAACTAAATAAGGATAGTCTAACAGAATTATCCTAACATAGTTATTTCTACTGTAATACAGTATTTAACACTGTAACAATTAGCTTGCAATCAAAATTATTGACTTTAAATGAAATTTTGAATAGTTTTGATAAAATTGTCCGTCATAATAAATTTGCTATTATCATTTATTGCTAATAAAAAAATAATATTGTCTTTTACAGCTTGAAAATAAAGAATGCCGGTATAATGTAATTGTTATTAGATTTAGATCAGTACGATAATTAAAAAATAATTAAAAATATTATTAGGATAGGCTAAATGAGTATAAACCTGCTAGATGATACTCTAATAGCGTTAGAAAGGTATATTACGGTTAGGAGACAAATTTTATCCTATCGCTAGGAGAAGCTTCTGATGCCACATTACAAACTAATATTGATTGCATTCAGGGCTTACAAATCAAGCTATGCCCTGATATTTTTTACCGTACTTATAATAAAGTATTTTAAATAGTTGTTGAGTTTTGACGATACTATCAGTATTTCCTTGAGAGAGAATAAATTACTTCTGAAATTTCGGTAAATTAGTTCCTAGCATCTGTGCCATACTAGGCTGCTCTCACGTTATTGACTCACAAAACATGATTTAATATCAGAATCTACTCTACCTTTAATAATACTGTCGCGTTAAGTACAATGGTAATTCCATATCTATTCTAATCTACTATAGGTTATTGTATCTCATGACTACATTCATAAATTATGCTGTATCAATTAGCATTGAATTTTATACCCTTATTTTTTTCTGTCCTATGGCTATGATGACGATAAATTTATTTTAAATTTAAAATGAAAGAAATAATAACTAGCCATGCTATAATTTTACATCATTATGTTTAACAATATGTCATCACCATCACTAAATAATAGTACACAATAACATCTTGCGAGAATAAACATGTTTTTACATTTCATTAGACAATTTTTATCAAGTTTTCAGATTAGAATTAATTACACGATTAAATTTATTTCTTGATATTCTGTTCACCGAATACGGATAGATGATGAGAAACTTAAGAGCTTATCCTGTTTTCTAGCTATTAATATCAATCAATTATGGACGAATATCAAACCAGCTGTATAAGTATCTTGACATTTATAGTTACCGTAGCCAAACAGAATCAATTTATATTGATCAATTATCAAGTGTTTGTATCAATAATGAAATAATACCAGGCTATCATTCCAAATTTTAATCGATCCATAATCAATCATGAAACTACTATCCTTTTCTAACATTAATAAGTTTACAGTAGATTATTTATAATATACTGTAGTTGTTACTGATTACTGTCAAATCGAATCAATCTATGAAGATGATTTATTATGAAGTGATTTGATCGTTAACAAAACGATACTGTGCTAAAATTTCAAATTATAGAATTGAATATTAATAAGCGTTTATCATTTAATTATTGCAAAATTTACAGTAAGCTCGATATAGTTAGTACTTATCTTAACACTAACCAATTGAATCAATATATAATGATCCATCATGAAGTATTTTGATCACTGTTGGAAATAATATCAGGTTATTACTTCAGATTTTAATTAACCGACTGACGATCAATAGACCATCTTCTAACAATAATAAATTCATAACAGATTTGTATGATTATTGCTTGGTGTAAAACCATTGAATGAATCTGATCATCATGAAATGTTTTGATCGTCGATGAATTTTTCAATGATAGTCATCTCACGGGCCCGTCATCAGGTCTACTCCAACATTTATGAATTCGAAGCTAGTTTGAATTATTGCAGGCTGTTATTACTAACCTACGTATCGGTTAATATTAACCAATTCATTAAAATTTGGTGTAATAATACCAGACCAATATTTTAGGTTTTAATCGATACCAGTAGGCAGTAAATATCAAATTCTTAATAATTTTCTAGAGTAAATGAACGTATGATAGAGGTCTTTCAAAGTTTGTAAAATGATTCATAGATTTCACCCGGAATAAATTTAAACGGAATTTACTGCTAATATAAACAGATTGATTATAATTTACCGAAACAGCCATATTTATCTATCTAGCCTTGCTGAATTAATCGTAGGCTACGATCACGGCGATAACTCCAACACGGTTCGTCATATAGCTATTTATAAGTTCGTGACAATTTATGGTGGTAGTACTCGTCAGTAGCTAGATTTAACTATTAGTAATACACCTTTATCGCATTCGTACGTTGACAAGAGTCAGTCGATTTAGATTGCAATATTATAGGAGTACAAATTTAATAGCTGCTGTCACCCAATATCTATATATTCTTTTCGTGACAAAGATATATCGGAGATGTTTCTGAGCCTTCTCCTATCTCGAACTACTTATCAAGATTAATTCTCCGTGACAACTATGAACTTTTTCCTTAATTTCCACGGCATAAATATATACCTCCTTGCGCGTAAACAGTAAAATAACGAACTCTCTATATTGTAAAATGTAACTCACTTTTATGTCTTCTATTTATATTCTCTAGTAATAGAAATTAATACTAATAAACTACACTGCTGTCATATATTCTTAGACCTAAATTTGTATCACTTTATATTCTATTTTAAAGTACGTTAGAAGGCGCATAAAACAGAGAAAGTCATGATCGGAACACGATCTGACCTTTAGGCTCTCTAATAAATTAGGTATTTAAATAATTCACTTGCTCTTACTAGAAAATGAACTAGTTTACTATCTATAGCCTAACGATAAGCTATCTGTACAACGATTAATAGAATGTATTTATACTTAATAGTGGTTTTAACACCGTGACAACTGCAAACTATAAAATTATATTAGTTTTAACATGGCTCCACTATGATCAATAACGAGGTCAAATTATCAGTTATTAGAGGCCGTAAAATACATTAGTACTGCATTAACAAGTAAGTAGTTAATTAAAGACAGTGTTTTAATGCAATATCATCACGGGCATTCATAAAATCGATACAATAAAATTATGAAGTTGCATGAATGTTATTAGTCTTTGTAAAATATACAACAGCATCAATAGATCGATTTTGAAAATATTTCTATAAGAACATATGTTAATTAGGGAAATTTTATTAACGACTAGCCTATCCTTAGCAACGTAACCTTGTATTTCTTTAAGATATTTGTCAATAAAAATAGATGTTGTAGTAATTGCTTTTTTCTATCTACTATGCATGATATCA